CCAAACGTGAGATTTGCATGATGTACATTATATATTTTATTTTGCTATATTATTTTGAGCTTGATTTTTATCGGAGTGTGTTGCATCCTGTTTTAAAGCGCATGTGTGAGAAATAGATGAAAGTCTGAGTTTATAATAAATAAATGTGTATAATTTCATTTTAAATGCTTTTCCTGTGATTTCATAATGTTCATATTTGCTTAATCTTGCACCGACCGCTCTTCACCTTCTTCCTATCATTTTATTTATAAGATTATAGCTGATTTTGTACATAAAATCTGTAGACAAAATACTTAATCACACCCAAAAAATAAAAGAATGAAATATCAACACTAAAACTTCTAAACTATCAGTTTTTCCATGGGTAGGTAAGTACTCGATTTAATATATTATTTCTTCCACACTGCCTTTAATATGCCAACACCAGCATGATGCTTCGGCGACGTTACGTTTGGTCTTTAGAATATAAAAAAACCTTGTAAAAACCAAGACAATCTTACATATAAAAGATAAACATAAAAAATACAGTTAAAAGAAAAATCTACTTTAACTTAAAAGTAATAGGGATGAGAGTAAAAAAGATACGTCTTAATCTTTCCAGGCCCAAATTATTGATTCAGAATTGACTGCTAAGCTTCTCGGTCGAGGAGTAGCAGTGTCACCAGTGGTTACTGTTGAACCACGACGAAGAAAGTTCCATAAAGCTATAACTCTTAGTATGCCGGCACCACGCCCCCATACCCAGGGTATGACGAACCAGTACAGCACATCATCAGCCCCGACATTAAGGCTACTCTGCTCCATATCAGGTACAATTAAAATAATTCGCTTGTATTTGAAAAAAATAATGCAATAGTCTCATTGGTTACTGAAAGACAATTTTGGACACAAGTTGAAAAATTCTTAGCATGACATGATCAAACCTAACATTTGAATTAGGAATGTGATACTTGGAGTATTAATTGTTTTATCCATGATGAGGAAAATAGTATTATTTTGGTAATGTTGGATAATACAAAAGATAAACATGATAAAGACGTTTCAAAGGCTTACAAAAATCTTATTTCTAGAGTTATATTAGCAATAACGGTTAATGAAGATGTATTAGCAGTACGTCTAAAATGAGATGATAGTCCAAATGTTTTTCAATAACAAATAGATGAACGCAATGTGTTGCAATGGAGTATGGCTTACATTCGCTAATTTGACGACATGCTTTGCCACGGAAGGTAAGTGTGCCTACAGTTAGGTATAAAGCTTACAAACAGTGCCCAAACATAGGCCGATCTCACTACAAAGAGGGTGCAGATATTTTAAACAATTAACCAATGTTATTGGCAACTTCCAACTCCTCATTTGTTGCGTGTGTTCATTCCGTACATCAGGTGACCCGCCTTTTCATTTTCTGCCTGGTTCTATAAAAAAGTGGTGAATCGGTCTATCTACGGGAATTGTGAACTTCGCTTTTAAGTCTGCTTAAGTAATTAAAAAAGGAAATACAATTCTAATACCAATATTCCATTACAACACATTGGTACTGTAGGTTTATAGACAAACAGAAATCATTACGAATCAATTTGTAGGTAACAATTATTTATAGTTCTACATGAGATCGGTAGACTATATAGATTTTGAAATTTTAAATTTTCATAGTGTATTTTATAGTTAATCGGAATTTTTATAGACTTTTTTATCCTAAATCATATTGGTTAGTGTAGAACAATGAATTACGGGTTTAGTCTGACTCCCCATTTCATAGAAAGCAGGATGAGCATGTTAAATATGACATAGCGTAGTTTGAAATCATTTCATTCGAGCCAAAACATACATAATGATAGTTGAAGGGAAAGAAATTATCTAAGACAGAGCAAAAAGCCAATCGCTTATAGCAAATACACAAGCAGCTGAGGGACATCGTCCCTGTGTGTCCGTTATGTGCGTGTCTACATTGTCTTTGTTCTCGTGTGTTTGTGTGTGTTGCACGCTCACCGTGTGTGGCGCTAAATAATGTGCTGCCATCTATCGGCGCGCACCAACAGGGGTATTTCGCAAAAGATCTCTCGAAGGTAAAAACATTAGAAATATTATACAAAAACAAAATCAAAATGTCGGTTTAAGTTTCGTTTATTTTATTTTTAACGTTAATTTGTCTAACTCTTTAAACTATCGTGTTTTTATTTCTCATAAATCATTGTTTTTATGATACTTATACTCTTCAGTGCCGTGGCTGTTCGAGTATAAATATCGGTTACATTATTTTTTTTCCCTCTATCACTTTTTGAATGCTTTTCCATATCTTGCTTTTCATACATTCTTCCTCTATGCACGGGCTGAAATTTTTACGCTTTGTTAAGACACATTCACTCTGTTTCATAACCATCCAATGAATCTTGGGACATCAAGAGATGCACAGCGATACGTTCACGATAACATGACGGTTTAGTACAAATATACAAACATAAATAGAATTCTAACTGCAACTGTACTGGCACATTGTATAACACGACACCTAATATACCTGTTTTTGTTTAGTATAAGCGTAAAGATCTATCCGAGTCGGTGCCATCTCCATCCTCATGTCATTCAGTGTCAATGTTCCCTTCTATTACTTTGCTTGTAAGAATCAGAGATTTATTTCCAAAACGGCCTATCGATCTGTTCACATCATCTTCTCTTGTTTTGTCTCGTTCCTTTATTCTTGTCATTGTTTCACTGGACACGTTATTATTTACATCTTTATTTTGTTTTCGATTGTTTTTTTTTTGTGAATTTTATTTCAGTAAATGTCCTTCGAGAGATCTGTTTTCCGAAAAGCCTCGTGCAGTTTCGATGATTCGTTTTTGATAGTATTCATTTTCATTTTGTATTACAACAACACTATTTTATAAGAAACAGGTTACATACAGTTCACAGTGTGCCACATTAGTCACATTTTTGTTTTATAAACTGTTATTACTGGTACGTTATTTTATTTATTTGTTTGTTTGTGTGATGTGTTGTCTTTGCTTGTTGTGTGTTTGCTATAGGCCGTTTTGGAAACATTTTATGTTAAGTTTCTTTTTCTAATAATTTATTTACTGACCTGTCTTTCTTATTTCTGATCTTCTTCTACATCGGTTTCTTACATTACTTATATAAATTCTATATTCTTATGTTTAGGTTTAATATAACAAAATCTTAACTTAAGCTATCAGAAATCTGTATTTATAACTACACTTCAATTTATTAATTAAGTAGTAAAGAATAGACTGTATATTATCAAAAGAACAATACTTGACGTACTGTGTAGATTAATTACAAGCCTGCTTTGGCATGCATTTATACATAGGTTAGACCCATCATCATGGCAGTTGAAAAATAGCGTTTTAGCCGCAAAATACTGCCTCATAGCTTTCATCTGAACAGACAAACAAAAAAGCATTTTAAATGTAGCAGTACAGAGTATATAATTGGAGAGCATGTATTAAATTTTCATGGTGTTTATAGGGTGTAAAATGAGTATTTTATGATGGCAGGTGGAACAAATCGGGCTCATTGGGAAGATGTCACTGAGAATACACCTCTGACGTTTGTGAACGATTGTGTTTCGTTCACAACAACTGTTTCGGCCAGATATTGGCTGATTGATTGTAGACACGTAGAGGATGCTACCAAAATGGCGACTGAGCTATACAGGTAAAGTGTAATGAAAAAGACTACTTTAGCAACAGTGGTTCTCATTTGATTGTTTGTTAGTTTGATTTGAATAATCTCCGAAACTGCTTGACGGATTTGAAAAACTATTGCACTATTGGATAGCTACGCTATACCTAGTTAATATACGCTGTAAACAACGTGAATGAATGCCCGAGGCACAGCGAATCTTGATTTTGACTGCACGGTTGACGTGGTGGCATCCCGGCCCCCGTGCAACGTGACGCGGTTTCGATTCCCGCACGGAATTCTTTGTATGATCTGATTCATAAATTGTAGTTCTGGGTCTGGGTGTGGTGTTGAGATTGTAGGTATGTTTGTCAACCACACCAACCCACTACATAGTAGAAAATTCAAATATGAAGCAATGTACACGTCTTATACGTGAATTTTTATTTTACTTATGTTTTTAGGGAGGCTATCCATGTCCCATTCATGGCTCGGTTCGTGGTTTACGCCAAACGCACTGACGAGTGTCAGGCACAACTGCGAATGTTCTGCGTCACTGATGATAAAGAGGATAAGACCTTGGAGCGCATTGAACGATTCATCCAAGTAGCCAAGAGCAGGGATGTTGAGGTAGGTAGACCTCGATGGTCATTTGAAATAAGAATGGTTTATAATGGTGTATCTGAAACATGGTTAATAGGCAATTAAGAAAATATTAGTAACAATAACAATATGAGTAACAAAAATCAAAGGAAAAATATTAAAAATACAATATCAACATTCAAGAACATCATCGGCCTATAAATGCCCACTGCCGAGCCAAGACCTCTTCTCACACGAAGAAGGTTTCACCACGCTTGCTCAAGATGGATTGGAGATTTCAAACTTATTTAGATATTATCCATGTTTCCTCACGACGTTTTCCTTCACCGTATGTCAAAGGCCTCTAAACAAACATCGAAAATAAATATAACTCATGCATGAGAGGCTTCTTTAACCTCCGGGCCACCAAGACTATTTTGTATTATATTTAAAATACAACGAAATCTAATAACGACTTCTTTAAAACAGAAAAAAACACAAGTAAGTTTTAGTTGTTAATTAATTTCAACAGGTTCACGAGGGTAAACCAGTGTACCTGGAATTCGGTGGAAACCTGGTACCAGTCGCGAAGTCTGGAGAACAGCTTTCGATACCATTCAGAGCCTTCAGGGAGAACCGAGTGGCATTCCCTGTGATGATCAAGACTCAGGACTTGGAGCCAATCTGCAGGTGTCAGTTCATGAGGGATCCGAAGGTGCCAAAGGGAGAACCTTCACCAGCACCTGTGAGTTTTGTTTTCCTGTCTTATTTTATATTAATTGATACCGTTAATGTCTCCTTTTTCTTATGGTCAACATGTTACCTCATAGTAATAAAGTGTGATTGCTTGACCTTCAGATTGCTGTCCTCAACATAATGGTGCCTGATGAAGAGAGGACGTCTCCCATTCCTACAGAAACAGTACCGATGCGTACTGAGGAACAAGAGCTGATCTGGCGACAAAGGCTCAGTGACCCAAGGTATTATATTTTATCATCATTTTTAACTAACTGTGCCATTGCCCAGACTATACTTATAATTTATATATTTTTTCTTTATTGTTTTTTTTTTTTGTTGAATAAATTAATCTTCAAAAAGAGGACTGTTCTTTAAGTTTTGTTTGACAAAAGTGCCGGGAAGGGCCTAATTGAAATTTTGACTTTGACTTTTGAATTTGAAACATTTTTCAATTTCATAGATTGGAAGACATCTGCAATCTCCTCGGCAAAGACTGGGTGGCGTTGGCCTATGAGCTTGGAGTAAGTGTGGCCACAGTCAATCAGATACAGGCGAAGAGGATCACAGCCGCTGAGCAAGCACAGCTTATGCTGAAGCTGTGGAAGACGCAATCGGGAACCAAAGCTTTAGGTAAGAATAGAATATTTTTTACGACAAAGATTTCTTTGCATTGGTTTTTAATACATTTAAGCCTACCAGAATACTTCTGGGGACATTTTTATAGTATACATTACAAAGACATATGACACCACGGTAACGACAATTTAAGGACCACTGAAAGTGTTCTTCCGTGTAACTAATAAACTCGTGTTACAATGTGCGGTTACAGTAGCATGCTTGTTAATAAAATAAGTGGCTACACATATAAACCATGGAGTCAATTGTCAGTACAACAAAAAAAGATTTGACTGAAGCCATTAATGGGTTATTTGATTTTTTTAACTTTGTGTGTGTAATGTTTAGCCACTAACTTACAGATGGATTACCAATCGATGGTCATGAGTTTCGAGTGCCTTGCCGGCCATTTGAGCATACGAGAACGATGATTGATATCTGAGATTTAGGGATTGGGGAAGAAGCATTGGGTCTACCCTTTCCGTCTTCTTATACTTTCTTCTACATAATACATTATCTGCTATGTTTTCGTCACTTAGTACATATTCGAGTTCATAAAAAAATATTATTTCAGATAATGCTCTAGAGTTAGCGTTATGTCGTATTGGAAGGGACGACATTATTGCACCGCAGTCGGATTTGACCAATGAAAGACGTATCCAACGCAATATTTACCAGGAAAGACAGGCTTCAGAAGAGATAGAAGCTTACAAAGGTTCGTCCATATTTGTTGCGGTACTTTCTTTAAATAGGAAACCTTTCCTTGATCTTTATGTCTAGAAAGAAAATTGTATTATGATTGTTGATGACAGTAAGCATTAGTTTCAATATCATGACATTAATAAGCATTTTGTTGGTAGATTCTATTGTATGACCAAACACTTTATGCTTTTAATAACTTACAAATAATTCACATCACACGGGTATCATAATTAATTACACTAATATTATCTTTATAAGTGTAATTAATTATGATACACAGAATTCAAGTACTTAAATAAAAACCATTCTTATTATGAGAATAAGAATATTTGCAACTAATGATGGTGTTGCCAATAATAATGTTTTCGCTGCAGCAGATGAAGACAATAAACTTAAAGACAGGATATATGACGAAAATCAGATCCCTGAACATAGAGATGAACATGATCAGGATGAAGCTAAGTATTCTCCTGAAGAAAAGTCTATTGTCGATAAGAGTGAGATAGAAAGAACTCCTACGCCAAGTGAAGATAGTGAAGAAGATGAAGGTAAAAACTAATTTTTGTTTAATTTTGATACTTACATTTATTTAATTTTCATTTTAACGAAAACGTCATTTATTTACAATGCAATAAAGTTTAATTTGATTGATGAGAAAATAATTGTTATTTAATCAAAGTTTTCTGTACCGATTGATAAACAAAATTTCATTGTTTTCAGATGTCAAGCGCAGTGTAGCAGAACGAAAAGAACAAATCACAAGAAAATTGAGTTCTAGTAAAATTCCGGCTTCTAAACAGAAGAAGGAAATAAGAGAGGAAATTATTGAAATTAAAACGCAAATAAAACCCGTCAAAAAGTACCAAGATAGCGAACAACAAGTAAGTTTAAATTGTTTTAAAGTTAATCTCATATTGTTGCATATACGGAAACTATTATTGCGATATTACCAATCAATTTATTGCTTTTCTTTGTTTTATAGGTAATGGATAAGGAGCCAAAATTAGAAAGAACACGATCAAAAACTTCTCCTGACACTGTTGAAGAAGAAGAGGTCCAAGAAGTGCCTGAGCCAAAAAAAGAAGAACCGAAACCAGTAGAAAGACCAGTCGACCAGTTCCGAAAATTTGACCCTTCATCGCCAGCTAAGCCAACTCCTAAGCACTTACAAAGGCACATGAGAAACGAATCCATGAGGTTCCCATCTGGAGATTTCTCTAACGTCACAATCACTCCAAGGAAATCAGTGACTGCCGAGACTTCTGAAGTCAAAACAACTGAAACAAAAGATACTTTCACCAGAGAAGCTATTTCACAGAAAGAGATAGTGACATCCAGGGTAGAAGAGAAGTTAGATGACGGTGATAAATCACCTGATCTGGTAGTAGAAGAGAAAGATATTGCCGAGGCACCATTAAAAGCTAAGATAAGCTCTTTTGAATCGAAAATGTCCAAGGAATCTTCTATTGAGTTACCTAAGACTACAGTTAAATTAACGAAAGAAGCGTTGAAGAAACATACTTTAGAACAGGACCAAGGTATTGAGTATACTCAAGAATTTGTAAGGGAACAATCTAAACAAATATCAAGCATGGAAACACATGTTACACATAAAGTATCTGTGGAAACGGAAAAACATGTTGAAACGGTCAAATCTGTTAAAGAAACGATACAACACTTCGATTCAAAGATTAAACTAGATGAAAAATCAAAACCGTACCATAAAACGATGAGAACTGATTCTACATTAGTGCAAGTATCTTCAGAGGAAGATAGTGAATTTTTGAAAAAGTCTACTGACTCTGAGACTGAGACTGAATCTCAAACTACTGTAAAAGTAGATAAATTAGATCAAAAGAGTAAGTTCAAAATCGATAGAGATATTTTTGACAAAAAGCCTGATGGGTTACCCAAAGATCAGAAGGATGATCATAGCAGAAAGCCAGGTGATGATGACAAGAAAGATGATCAACCGGCGATTATGAGAGAACAAAAATTAGAAAAACAACTCACTCAAGAACTACGAGCGAAAGTCAGTGAAGAAGAAATTACGGAAGCATTGGAAGAAAAGGACGTTTCCGTTAGTGATCACGTTACAAAGGACAAGGTATATAATATAACAATATAAATACAAATGAAATAAAAATTTGGAGCATTTACACTTTCCTTTCAAAACACTTTCCTAATACGTATATTTTACAACCTTTAGGTGGAAGCACAAGTATCAGTGACGAGCGTAAAATCGGATTTAAGCCGACATACAAAGACTGACTCACTAGGATCAGAAACTACTGACATGATCAGCAAAATGACGTCACAGGAATCGCCTGCACAATCAGCTATTGATAAGGCAGACTCATTAGCTGATATACAACAAAGTACTGAGAAAGATTTCAGCTTTGTGTCTCAGACTGAATCGAAGGTAAATGTAACCAATGTAAAAAAAATTATTTTTGATAGCAAAATATGCTCAGTATTAGGGACTGAATAAATAGAAAAATATATTGAGGAAAAATTGCTTATTTAGGTTTTGTAGTAAATTGAAGATTGATCAGTTCATATCATTCTTGATTTACTTATGTTTATTAAAACTGTCGTTACAGTTATCTAAAGTACTTAAAATGCCTTTATCTATAAATTATGTAAAGGCTTTCATAACGAAATAAAAGTCTACACATTTGATGACTATATTTATTATTAATTGTCACCAGGTGTACTCAAAGGATTCAAAACACCGCAGTGACTCACTAGACGAGGCTTCACAATTCTCAGACTTGGATGACCAGATTGGCACAAGTCCAGCACATAAGCCTCATGCTGATAAAGACTTAGAACCAACTGTAACTAAAACTGAAATTAAGACTGTTACTACTACGATATCAGATAGAAAAGGGGATAGAGACCAAACATTAGAATTTATCAAATATGAAAGCGAACATAGCTCGCAAGTCCTTGAATCTGCTTTGGTGCCAAGGGAAGCAGAAAAGGTAAATTAGTTAGACGTTAAATATAGTTGTGTAGCTATAAAAAAAAATTTTATTGATACAAATCGTATTTTTTTACTAAATTATTTTCAATATTTTAGGTATCACCTAAAGAGTCGCCAGTAATAAGCGCGAAAGCTCGCCAATTCATTGAAACCGTGCCAGAAGATGACTCTGTACAAGAATGCTTCTTCTCTAAGCGCATTTATTCAGACTCTCTAGAAGACTCCGAACATACTGACTCAAGACGACATTCAGAAGCGGAATCATTAAAATCGGATCAATCAGATGTAAAGGCTAAGGTTTCATCGTCGGACTTTGACGAAAGAGCTGAATATGAGGAGACTATTGACTCGGGAAGTGGCTTTGGTGATGAGAAATTCGAAGAAAGTGTTGGTTTTACATCAATAAGAATTGACCCCAAAGCTGTAGGTCTAGAGAAACAAGACTCTGGTTCTGATAAAGCCGAAGATGCAGAGCCTATTTTTAAGAAAATGACCCCGAAACGTTCTCACTCCAGAACTGAGTCGATTTCGATCTCAAAGTTAAGTGATCTGCAAATTGATTTAGATTTACCAAAAACTAAACAAGAATTCCAAATGATTGTCACTGAAGCAGAAGAAATAGACCGATCTGACAAAGATGAGCTGTCTGACAAAATATCTTCTGAAAGTAGCAGGGAAATTGAAATATCAGATAGAAAATCTTCAGAAGGAATTTCTGATAAGATCAGCTCTGAAGATGCTGTTACGGAAAAGAAAACGTCTTCTGAGGAAGACGCAACGAGAGACCGCGAACCAGTTTTGGAACACGAAAAAGAAGTAGTAACTGCTGTTATTGAGACCGTTAAAGAATTTGACGCCGTTGAAATGAGAGCTCATGCAAAAGACGATGTAGTAGACAAAGGTATGTTTTAAGTCGAACAGCTTCTTCCTTTTCGAATTTTTATAATAATATCTACTGACGCTTTTTTATATATTCTCCTTATCTCTCTTTTATAGAAAATCCTCATTTACAATTATTTGATTACAGTCGATGCAGTGAAACGCCAATCAGTAACATCAGCTGGTTCTGGATCGGTAAGTGAGCTACGGTTGGAAGAGAAACGTTTATCTGATGCTCATAGCTTGACTGAATCCAGAGACTATACTTTTGAAGAGTCGGAAGACGATATTGGAACACAGGGAACTCATGTTGATGTCTCAAAAGACAAAGTCGAAATCAAACCTGAGAGTGATTCTAAGACCAAAACTGTTTCAGGTGAGAAAACCAGAATGAATTACAAATACCCTATTATAACGGTTAAAAAAACCTTGCATAAATCAAATTAATCTCATATTTTTTTAGGTAAAACTGAGTCCAAATTTGCAAAACTTACTCATGGAGATTCCTTGGATGATGTTGAAGGTTTCCCCGAAGACCATGTCACTGATTATGTTCATAAACTTCCACACATAGCCGAAATGGGGTGAGAGCACATACATTCATACAATTTCTAAATTTAAACAGTATAGAAACCCATAACAGAGCGTATAACTTGATATTTTTTTCAGTTCTATTCCGGATAAGGACCTTACGAGTGATTTCTTGAAAAAAGAAAGGGAAGCACAAATGAAACGAGAATCAGTACAAGTTACAACGAAGACTACTACTGAAACCAAAGAACCAGAAAAAGTGATGTCTGCCATTTCTGGCATTATACAACCAGCAAAGGAAATCATCAGTGCAATTACTGACAGTGCGCAAACAACAACAGAAGAAGAGAAAGTAATCACTGGTGTCATTACTGAATCTACAACTGGGCATGTTGTAACAAAGACTGTAACCGAATCTTCTCAACCAGATAAAGTTGTAACAACTGTTGTCACTGAAACTGTACAGCCAGTAAAAGAAGTAAAAGTTGTTGAAACAGTTCAAACAGAACATGATAAACAACCTAGAGAAATTGTATTTACGACAAGACAAACAGAAACCACGTACACTATATCTTCGAAAGATGAACCAACCGTGGTGTCAGAAATGACTACTGTAATCAAGGATGATACTACATCAACTGTAGAAGAAATAATTGAAACCAAAAAGGAAGTAATTGTAAGCACCGGTAGTAAATTTGACGTTTCCAAAATAAGAACCGATACGCTTGGACATTTTGATATTGGAGATATTGACGAAGCTAAAAAGTTTCCACCTAAAGATTTGGATTTGTCCGAAGCACCAGAAATTACCAAAGAACAGGTCAAACCTGTTATTGATGACATTTTACATAAGGGAACCATTGCAGCAGCAGCTCGAAGCCCAATTGTTGACAAAGATATCAAAACAATTACTAAAGAAATTGTAGAAACTGAAAAAAGATCTTATGACGCAAAAGTTCCGCACAAGGATGAAAGGCGACACTCTTGCATTAGTCCAGCTATCTCTCTCGAAAGGATAGCTGAGTCTGAGGTAGAAACCGAAGAAGAACCACCTAAGGTTACCAGCGTTGTCACCGAAACACACACAGCAACAGAAACAGTTACTGAAATGAAAAAATCTGATTCAGCTATGAAACAGATGGCAGATAACATAGAAATAATCATTAAACAGGCTTCTGAAGATATCGATGTTTCTTCAGAAGAACATCCAGTTGATGACACACAAGATATAGCAGGAAGAGTCTCTGTAGACTCTATCATAGAAGAAGCAGTGTCTACTGTCGAAGGATATTTAGACGAAAAAGATTCAAAACAGCAAGAAATTGAAGCTAAAAAAGAGATTGTCTTCGAAGAAACGAAGAAGTTTGTTAAGGACAGGCCAGGGCTGATCAAGTCACTGTCAAGAGATAGTGGGGAAATTGTGATCATGCCTAAAAAGAAACATCCGAGAACATTCTCTGTTCAGAGCTCCCCCGAAGAAGTCGAAGAACAGATTTACACGGATTCTGAATCAGGTTAGTAGAAAACAGCATGTTTAAAGTAAATAGGCATACAAATACAATTTTAAGTGCACTATAAGACGTATTTTTTACAGATATGGATAAAGCTAAAGTTCTAGAAATAATAGAACCTAGCTCTGATTTGGATGGTAAAACGCCTGCATCTAGTTTTGATACGAGGAAGATACGCACTGACTCTCTAGATGATGCTGATGATTTCCCAGAAAAAGAGGTACATTATTTTACCAACTTTTTTAGTTAAAATATTCTTAAAAACAATAAATTAATTAATTCCCGTATTTTAGGCTGAATTCTTTGGAGATGATGACAAGTACATTGAAGATGCACCAGAGTCATTCCAGCAAGTTAAATTTGATACCCAAGGACTTGATGATATTGCTGGACCTAGCACAAGTGCACGCCACGACGTTGAAGGAGATGACAAATTCAGCGAAAAGTTTGTCAAGAAAACTCACTTTGTGGACAGTTTAATGCGATCAGATTTAGTCTCAAAATCTACTACAGAGTCATCAGTGACTACAGTAGTATCTACGTTGACCAAGTCTTCAGATGAAGACCAGAAATCAGTACTAGAAGATGGAACTTCTGCTGACTTCTCAAAAATCAGTGGTGCAGACTTAGTCAAAGACCCTTCGAAAACTTCGATGGAGACTAAAGAAGATTCTAGGATGGAGGAACAGATCGAGGACCGCGGTACACCAGACTTATCGAAAAAGTCTATAGACCTAACAAAAGACTACTCAAAATCATCTATCGATAGCAAAGACACTTCCAGAGATTTTGCTACAAATGAATTGTCCAAAGACTCCACTGTTGACTTAACGAAGGACTTTTCAAAAGCTTCCGTAGAAAGCGTTAAGGAGAATTCAAAGTCTATTGACGAAAAGACTTTCTCCGAAGACCACTCGTCATTAGATGTATCAAAGACATTGGCTTCTGACGCATCCGACGGTATGACCGTGAGTAAAGAATTTATTGAAGAGGAGAGATCAGTTTCAAGGGTTGTTAAAGTATCGACTAGTTCCTCCCAGGAAACGTCTGTACTAACAGAGAGTAAATTATTTAGTGAACAAGATGAGAAATCATATGAAAAGACGAAACCTTCCGATAAAACTGAACAAGACTTCATTGGTGAAATGGAAGAAAAGATTGCCCAATTGCAATCAGAATTTAGAAAGGAAGAAGAGAGCATTAAAGATAAGGCTGACAAAGAGCCTGAAGTCAAAATTGAAAAACATGTTACTACGAAAGAAATCATTGGTGAAGATGGTGCAAAAACGATTATTACTGAAACACATGTGACTACTGAAACAACAAAGCACGTTGTTATAGATGGAAAGGTGTCTGATGATAAAGGAGATGGATCCAAGAAAGACAAGCCAGATGATGATGAGGTACTTCAAGAAGCAGACGATGAAGTTCCTGATATGAAAGAATTAAACAGAAGGTGTTCAAATCTTCTGGAAGATATATCTCAAGGAGCTCTCATTAGAATTGACTCATCGCACGTAACTCATGGTAAGTTTCGTATTGTAACAGCATAGATACATTTATTTTTGTTATCTGATAATTTAATTTAGCCCTTCCATTGCCTTTAATAAATTCAGCACGTATTTTTTTTCTCCTAATACTTCCTATATATTGGTATTACAATTTTATATTTTTATTATATTTAACTCCAAAAATGGTAATTTTATAGATCTTGTGTCAAAATTCTCCAAAACTCCACCACCGTCCCCTGTTGATTTAACCTTGAAAGAAAAATCCAAATCCGAAGATGGTACTGGCGACAAGTCTGCCGGGCTACAACCCAAAGGTACGTCAATACCTGATTACTCATTTGCATAAAACACTATAGTAATGATCACTGCAAAACTGCAATCGAGGTTGTCAAAAATCACACAGATTTATTTATAAATATCAAAGATATTATCATAATCTTCTTTACACTAACCGAATTGTTAATGTTGTTGATTTAGATAATAATGATGCTGTTGGTACAGCAAAAATGTTGTAACAATTGATAAAAAATTAAGAGTAATTACAATTTTGTTCGACAAATTCAATAAATTGTTGGTTATTGACAACTTTTTTAATAACAGTGACATCGTAGTTCAGCATTTGCAACAATCAATATCATTAGTGATCGCAGCTACCACCAAATCACAGCCAACGAACTGATACTACATTGATTGTTAAGAACATAAAAGATATTACATTAATGCAAAGACTTTGTCGCTTCTATGGTATAAGTTGAAAAAACTGCACTTACCAAAAGTTACTGAGTACCTAAATGCCCTCAAACTGACCTCATATAAATTATTCAGTCAAAAACGAAATATTACACAATGTAATTTTAAATCAAGTTGATTGGTATTGAAAATAATGTACAAGTATACCACAAATTCCCAAAACATTAATTAACCATATAGTAGCTAGATATTATGCTAGAAGTAGGAGCTAACTTCACCCTTAAATCTAGGCTCCGACTCATCGTTCCTGGACGCTAGCCGTCAATCACCCAGAGCTTCGTCAGCCGGCGATAGTGTCATCAGCGAGACTGAAGCTCATCAAAGTGGTCAGTAATTTGTACTTAAAACTACCAATCCCTTTACAAAATCCCTTTCTCTGATCTTACCAAAAATCCTAAAAATAGCATATTTATTGAGAATTTGTGAAAACATGTGTTATAATTTCCCATGAAATGGATTGTGACAAAATTATTGCAAGCTTATTGCAGTAATGTAGTGGCAAAGTAGAGTCATAGCGAAACTTTACTCTTAATTTTGTAGTAAACAACCATTATAGACAGCCTTATTTGCCACACTTTATTTGTACGCCAATCGCATGTGTCGTGGTTAATTTTTACACTTAATTCTTGACTTTGTTTCAAAGATTTTGGAACGAAGACAATGAACGGACAGCACTAAGTAACAATAGAATGCACTAAGACTGAACAAGATAAAATAAATTTTTAAATTGCGACCCCATCAAATGTCAGAACTAAGAAATTAATAAATTCAATTGCAACAGTCACTCAATGTATGCAAATATTCGTCAGCACAGTAAATTTTACTTTCTTTCTTGCGGAGCCCTTACGTTGCCATAGGTAAGTGGACCCAGGAGCAACCGAAACATCACTTTATTTTATTATCGCTTCTTTATCTGACGGACAGTTAATTTCTCGTGTTTAATTCGCAATTTTTCATCTACTATCATTCACATTCGAGTAACGTTTCGCTTTGATTCTGAATCTTTATTTATGTTTACCATTCTATCATGAGCTTTCATCGCTGTTTCCTTAAAATCTTCATCACATCGACATTAATCTTGTAATATAAACACGCTTTAGGTGCTTGAGGTGCATAAAATAGATCTTTTCCAAATTTTGAGCAATATGCACAAAAACTTCACAAAAGTAACAATTTAAAATTGGATTAAATTATTTCTAACACGTTTTCGATGTCTAGCACAGCGAATTAAAGGTAGGACGAGATACGTTGCTAGTTAATTAATATTTTTTTTTTCTTTACAGAAGTACTGATGGAAGCGTCTAAGGCACTCACTGCAGCCGCCAGGCCAAAATCCCCAACTAAACATGTGGCCGATAATATAACTTTCGTTAATGTCGACCAACCGACAATTACTAGTGGTGCAATTGAACTTGTTGATAGAACAATAGAAAAAAGTATAGACGTAATTGATCAAATTAAGAAAGAACAACTCGCTGTTCAAATGGAAGAAATGCAAAAGTCTACATCAAGTGACACGTTTTATACGGAGTCTAGAGTTGAGACTTCATCTTCTTCAGTTCATAAGACATTTGAAGGCAGCGAGTTGAAGTTTCAATCAATTGACCCTGAAGCTGTAATGTCTGATATGGTAGCCAAGTTTGGCAGCAAAGACGAATTCAGCACAATATTAACTCATAAAGAAACGGAAACAAGAAAGATTTCTGGTCAAGAATTCTTTTCTGAAACAAAACAAGTATCGTCTTCTGATGACGATTCACTTGTCATAAAAACTGAAACAACGCATGAACTACGAGGACAAGAACATGAAACGAAAGAGAAAACTGTGGTTCGTAAGGAGGGTGATCAAACTGAAACATCACAAAAGAGGTTAGAAAAAGCACACGAAGCCACAGCTAAGAGATCTGACACTGAAACGAAGACTGTAAGGAGTACGGATGATACAGACATTATTAAAGTTGAAAGAGAATTTTCTGAACAAGGTCTGTATACGGGAAGACAAACAAAGTCAGAAGAAAAAATGACAGCAATCAAAGATGAAACCACGAAGAAAAAGAATGAAGTTAAAATATCAGAACGTGATTTATACCATGAACAGTGGGGTAAAGAATATTTTACAGAGCCAGGTGAATTAGAAAACATTGTTGAAGATGATGATAAGTCTAGAGTTGCATTTATCGATTCCACTCTAAAAATAATTGAAAAAGACGAAATAGTATCTAGTGTAGAAGTTTCAGAAAAAGGAAAAGTAGTTAGTTCAACAATAGAACATCACAAAGAAGAGTCAGTTATAGAAAGTAAAGAACATGATGATCTTAGCTCTGATGCGCCCAGTTTTAAAAGTGAACCAACTGAAAGACGCGACTCAACAGAAGCCAGCCCTAAGAGTAAATCAAAATCTTTCAAAAAAGAAGACGAAACTTATGAAGTGAACTTCATAAAGGAAATCAAAGTTACAACGTCCCCAGTTAAGAGTACATTTAGTCGAACTGGAAGCCAAGATACACATTCTGAATCTGAGGTTGCACCTGAGTTACCTCATGATGACAAAACTGGAGATACACCAAAAAAGGAGAAACCTTTGAAATCTCCTATTAGATTACCAGAACAACAGATTCAAGATCAAGTTTGGGAGGTGTCTGTACAAAAAGCCGATTCATTTGAGGTAGCTGATGAGATACCGAAACCTAAAGTCACAACGAGTATTGAAACTTCTAGTACTACGAAGAGTTCTGACAGTGATACTATGCTAGAAATTAGAACTGTTGTAGAGACACGGACTGAAGTAACAAAAACATCCAAAACTGACATGTCCCCCTTGACATTTGAACTATCAGATGAAACAAGCACCTCTAAAGATATCATGATCAAATCCGGTGAGAGTCTTGACACTGAATGTATGGTAAAGTCCTTAGAGTCACATGAAGGGGAAGTGCTACAGAAATCTATGGATTCTACTGTAAGTGCAGAAACTCTTCATGCCTCGGAATTTTCCACTGAAGCTGATTCAGCTTACCTAACAGGAACTGATCATAGAAGGGAAGAAGTCAAACTAATAAAAGAAAAAAGCCTAGAAGACATTTGCAGTAGTGGATATGACACTGATCTCTCCTCTGCCGAGTTTCATGCTACGAAACTTGAGTCAGAAAAGGTGGATTTCGATTCGCTGATGTCTGCTCAACCACTCACTGACTTGTCAGTTTTGGAAAAAACGATAGATGAAGTCAAACAGTCTCTTGAAGCAGCGCAAGGCGAAATTATTAGTGAAAAAAGTGACGGTAGCAGCAAATACAAACAGTCTCCATCTGAATTTCAGTTCAAGCTGTTAATAAGCCCTGATAGACCAGAAGTTATAACCGAAGAACAACACGATGACCATGATAAGTCAGTTGTTTCTAAGGAAAAACAAGAAAAGATACTTGATAAATCAGATAGAGTATCCCCAAAATTAAGTTCTCAGGACGATACTACAACTTCAGATGAAGAAAAAGACACTATCCATATCAAAGAATCTAGTCCACCCTTAGATAGTGCTGATATATCTATTAGATCAGACAGCGGTCCCCATTCAATAATTGAAACTGACAGTGAGATAATATTGTATGACAGAGATAAGTCCATAAGCAGTCTTGAAGTGAAACTCAGGGAACAGAAACATATTAAGTCAAAGCTAGGAGTGGGCGACAGACGATCAGCATCAGAAGTAGAGGGTTGGTCTAGTTCTGGAGAAAGTCACTATCACAGCTTCGAACATTCAGAGAGCCGACCATTATCCTCTGATGTTGAAGTCATGGTGACAGCACAGAGCGGAACTGAATTTGAAACGGCTCTCACAAGTCATGACGTTTCATCATCTTTGAGAACGTCTAAAGATTATTTCACTGCCGGTAGTTCATTAGCTTCCCGAGACAGTATGAAAAGTTTAGATTCTGATGGCTCTAGCCACGTCGCCAGTATTGATATTTCTGATGCTTCAGAAACTCTCGTACCGTCTGCTAATGAGTTGAAAGAAGAATTGATGGAAAGTAGCACGTACGTGGAACATTTCCTTCATGAAGGAGAAAAAGAAATGCCAAAAATCAAAGATGTTAGTGATGAGGAAGTTTCAGCTGATGAGGATGAAGGCAAAGTTGGTGTGATTGAACCTGTAGGTAAGATGAAAAGGTCACATGAAATGAGATTTCACAAGGATTTGATTCCAGAACATTTTCCAATCGAAAGCGCCTCAGAGAGCGTTGACATTGAAGACGATTCTACCAAAGATAAAGATGGTTCTGATACTACAATTTCAAGCCAGTTGAAAACCGATGAAATTTTGTCGTCATCTATTTCAAAACTGGATATGCCTTCCTCACAATCAGAACAGGACCTAATAGAAGTTAAGGAGACTGTGGTGAAAGTATCAACGCATTCTCAAGAGGCTATACCATTTTCTGTGACTAAAATAGAAAAGCCACAACGAGAATTCGTTGATGTTGAAAGTGAAATTATTCCTGTAGGATCTTCTGAATACGAGGACATTGTGAAATTTGGGAGTATTAGTCCTGAACCAAAAAAACATACAAAAGAAGATTCAACTATAACGAAGAAAACTATTCTGGAAACCGAAAGCACACCCGGAGAAGTATGTGAAGTTGTGGAGGAATGTCAGAAGAAAATTGTGAAAGAAATAAGCGTTGTACCTTTCCCAAAGACAGAAATACCACCAAGCCAGAGAGAATTTGTTGATATTGAAGACGATATCATACCAGTAGGATCCAAGCAGTATGAAGAAATTTTAAAATCGAAGAGTGATTCGTCTGTACCTAAAACCAAAGTTGAGAAATCTGTTGTTAAAACTCCTGATTCTCAGTTGGATAGTAAACAGACATCGACATCCAGTCTTCAAACGCATGATCATCAATCTACACCTCAAACACCACTATCTGCTCCCAGCCAAAGTTCACTTTCCACGGATAATGGCAGGGAATACGTTCTAGATGACATGTACGACATTTCTGAAACTCCTGAACTTCGGTCAGACCTTGCTGAAACAAGCAAATCAGAATTGGTTATAACAACCGAAGAAAAGACTATGCTTAGTTACGAAAAGGAGCAGGAATCACCTACTAGTGATGAATTTGAAATGGTGGATAAACCAAGCGAAATGGATGACTTTGTCGTCATAGAAGAAGTCGCTAAAGAAGCTCAAGAAACGGACACTGAAGGCAAAAGTGTACAAATAAAAGCTCAAAAATTTGTTAAACGACATGATACAGAAATTGAAGAGTATTTATCGAAAACTTCTTCCAAAAAACAAGAAAGTACTAGCAGTGCTTCTGGTTCGCTGTCAGATGACGAACTATTACAGTATGAATTAGAACAAAAGAAACTGCAAGCTCAAGAATTGGCTGAAATTGAAGCAGGAAGACGCTGGATTCAAATGCAATTTGAAGGAGATCCACGCTACGATTATGAGAGAGTGCCCTTAGAAGACATTAAAGAAGAAGAAATGACAGACTTCGATGCTAGTCGAATTGGTAGTTTAACTTCGCAAAAGGAATCGATAGGAAGCTATGGCAGTTTCAGAAACTCATATGGAAGCCTTTCTGAATCCGAAATGGCATCCCGAATTAGGTTCAGGGTAAGAGGTGATAATGACGATATTTCTATAAGCTCGTTACAAGAGTTCGAGAACCTGGAGAGAGCGTTAATGGAACAGTACCAGCAACACTCTTCATCATCTCAAGAATCTCTAAATGGTTCTTTGCCAAGGCGTTATGTCCTTAGTAGGAGTCAAGGTGATGATATTTCTATATCTAGTTTGAAAGAATTTGAAGGTCTCGAGTCTGCCTGTTTAGAAGCATTAAAAGCAGAAATACTTGCGAAACAAAAAGAAGCGCTTCTTATGGCTGATCCCAAAGAAGTAAGTGGTAGTTTCTTAGAAAGGGAAAAAAGATCATATAGTGGCAGTTCAGAAAGCAGTCCACCACTAAAAGGTGGAAGTCCAAGTCAAAAGAGTGGTAGTCCTTCCCAAAAAGGAGGAAGCCCCTCGCAAAGGGTCGGTAGCTATGGTAGCCCTTCACAGAAGATTTTAACTGAATCTGCTAGTATACGAAAGCTTATTGATCAACAAATGGCAATTGAACAGAAACTACAACAACAACAAGTGACACCTAAAATCATTACGGTAAAAAAATACGATGATAGAGGAGCTTTCTTTGTACCAGAACCTGAACCTGGCCCATCAGAAAAAGAAGCAGAACCATCAGAAGTAGTAGAAGAATGTAAAAAATCATCATCTTTTGTTTGCGCAGCGGCTCCTAGTGATGGGTCTGCTGAATCAATACCAGGAGATTGTGAGGAAATGATGAAACTGTTAGACCAAGAAGAGAAAACTAAAGAAAGTAAAGCAGTTACCAGAACATTCACAGATGGCGGTGTCATAGAAGTTGTTAAGACGACAACAGTCATTCAACAGCGATTTGTAGACGGAAAGAAAGTATCAGAAACAGTGACTAGTACTGATGAAGAAGGGGCAGTTGATATCCCTGCTAGACCTAGACAGCTTGAAGAAAGTGCCATGTCGTATGGCTCCGAAATGTCATCTTCAATTACATCTCAACCCTCAGAGATGGATAGCTTAATGACGGTGCTTGAAAGACATACAGAAGGAGAAGTAGTGACGGTTACACGCCAAACGATAACTATGACTGATAAACCTGAGGACTTGGAGTTCTCAAGGGAGGGGAGTCTAATGCGTGAGCTGTCGCCCTCCTCGGGGAGATCGGTAGCTCATAGTGTAATCTCGTTCTCCGGTAAACAATTTACAGATCCTGCTAGTGGCTCATGGAGCGGCCAGGACGAGGAGTTAAGTTCATCTGGAAGCTTTAGCAGGTTGGTCACATTCCGAAATTATAAACACACCACTACAAAAAGACTTTTTAAACATTTCACTTCTAGACTCTTCACGACTGTAGATCAAATTGTTCTTAATAAATATTCTCATTAATAAAACCGAGTTCTATACATTTCTGAATTTATTAAACAAAGTCATATTTAATAATAATTCAAATGATACAAACAAATATTTTCACAGACCTTTAAAGAACAATCTGCTAAATAACACATTTTTTTTTCCAGGGGAGCTCGCGCTGACCTGATGCTTGGCAGTACTGATAGCTTAGAGGCAACCAGCTCTAACGCCACTCGAGCCACCTACAACTATGAGGTCGACACCCCGATGACGGGCAGTCTCACTTCTGGAGGTGAGTGTTCAAAAACGGTTTTCAAGATTAAAGAGTAGTCTGAGATTTGAAGAATATTCTTAAGATGGACAAAGTTTTAGGGACACATTGGATGAACTCAAATTGTTTATTTTGTTAGCAACTGTCAAAAGTAGATGCGGATTGAAAGCGGTTTTACTCACCGCCAGTAAGAAGAGTTTCAACAAAAAATAAATAATAAGTAATTTGAAACTCTTTATTTAAGTTCGAAAAAGGTTTTTCTTCGGCAAATCTGATTGTACTGAGTAACACGAGTGCGTTTCCGTCAGCATTAAATTCAACAATAATAATATGTTTAAACTTCAAATCTCAGATTTTCTGAAATAGATTTTTATTTATTTAACATTTGTCATTCGGTACGTTTAACAAAACCTTACTATGTTATCCTGCGAAGCTTTGTCATTGCCTCATTTGCCTTGCAATTTATACGTTTATACCTTACTGATGGGTGCCAAAATTTCCCTCTCAATGTTACTAAATAGTCGTATTTCCATCTAAGCTTACATATTTAATCGTATTATCTATTTATACTAGAATAAAAATTTCATTAAAAACTAAATTATTTTATGTATCAGCATGTGCTTTCATATAATTGATTATATTATTAAAATTTTATAATCATCTCTTTGTATTTTACAGAAAAGCTTTGCCCTCATCCCCGCTTTTATCTTTAATTACATTAAATTCGTAGAATAGTCCTCTTAAGAGTAATTTCAACGAATTATACGTCTAAAAATGTAATATTAAATTATCTGTTCACAACAATGCTGAAAGCAAGATGGACGATTTGGTGTTAGATATTTAGGCGTAGATTATTCTGGAAATTACTTTTTGAGTTGGTTAAGTTTTTTTGATTATTTTATTTATACCTACATATTGCTACCCCGCTGAGCTTGATACTAATCAGAAAGATAACAGCGGTGCCCCCTCCAGGATCAAATACAATGGTATCATCTCTGGACACCCTGGATCCCATCACGGCTGTCCAGATGGAGAGTTTAGAGCATCAGTCCACTAGTGAACATTATTCACATGATTATGAAGTACAAGAACCTGATTCTGACACTGAGAGATTGGTAAGTGGAAAGTAATTTAAATTTAGACGCAGAGAAGAGGAATTGGCTGATTTTTGTTTACGAAAATAATGTTTTTGTTTTTTATTTCTTATACTTAAGGACGAATGGACGGGCGGCCAAACATGTTGTATTGAATAAACATACAAAACTGAAGCTCAGTGCCCAGTAACCAAATTTTATTAATAAGATAACTTTAAAAAATATCGTCGTTTGAACTAGCTTAAAACAGCTCTTGACATAATGTATTTATTATGTACCCATCTTACCACAGTACGAAAGAAAAACTATAAATATGAAAAACAAAATTGGTTTCCCTACAAAAATACCTATGAACAAATAAGTCGAAACTCAATTCAAGTAAAAATAATAAAGAACTTACAAAAGAATATGAATTACTAATAACCTTAACCTTACCATACATATTTTTAGGAGTTAGATAGCAGAACACCTCGGGCCAAGGAGCGCACAATTATGTTCGATAGTACTGACACGCTCAGCGCTGTCAGCGGCGACGGGTCAGTCAAGGAAGCAGCTGTAGAAACACCAGCACCTACCTTCTATATTGGAGACACTCCTATCATGAGAGGTATAGAGTTCAATTTGCAATTGGATGTTCATAATGAACTAAAAGTCACAGAGATAGTAGAAACTAAAATTATTACGTTGAAAGAGCAAAATACCTATATATGCAATGGGACAAAATGACACAAGTTAATTTTAATGTTTAGAATTTTGACTAGAAGTAAGATTTTCATTATATATCCCTAACGTCTTATAATAGGTGATACGGACACGATACTCAGTATCAATGATTATAAACCATTTACTATTGATTGATATCCTTTAAGATTGAGTAATCAATTTCCCTAACTCCAATTAAAATTGGTTTTACTAAATGCTGTAGGAGAACGTCGAGATGATGATGACGCACAACCAGCGCTGTCTGGAAGTGCTCCAGCATCTTTACCACCTGCCACTCAACCATCACCGCCCATACCTGCTCAAAGAAGGTAAGAAACATTTATCCTTCTACCGTCCTCATCAATTTAGCCCTTAATTACCAAATTACTCCACACATTTTTAATGATTTCTGCAATATGTTTTAAATTATGTCCGCTTTCGCTTCTTATAATTCTGATTTTATATCACAAGCTATTAATATCTCACCGTCTATTTTCTTTGTCATTACATATTTTATTGTCAGCTTTTTCATTTATTTTTACATAATCTATAGCTATTTTAGCTTCTTAAATGAATTCATATATATCATTTAATTTAATAAATAATAAAATTGTACCTACTAAATTGAAAAATATTATCATTGCAGCTGCTATTGTTTAAGTCACTCTCAAGATAATCTCGACAAATAGGTACACTATTTTTCTATTGTATTGCTTTGTTATTTTCATCATTTGCTTTTTCATTGATACCACAGTCACTTTTGATTTTAATTACATCAGTATTATGGTTTATTTTGCTTTTTTCTGTACTTTATTTGATATTGTGTGTTTCACTGCTGTTCCATTAGGTATAATATCAGCATGTAGTGAAGGGTGTATTGTTCAAACAAATGTAGAAGATTCTAGTAAGTATTAAATTTCACTAAAACACTATCAACGATGTTTTCGGCTGATGTATTGGGTCATCTTATTCTGTATTTATATAAAATAATAAACTTTCTCCATTATATTTTCAATGTAAATAATCAAAATGTATTTAAGGGTCATTCAAATTTATTCTAGAACCATTTTGTCTACTAGCATCTTCTGCATTTCTTATAACGTCTTAAGTGTTACCGATTGTAAAAATGTGTTATATATTTCTTGCAGATCATTGTCAATGCTAGCGAAATCTTCTCCATCCCACACGGAAGACGATAAGAAGTAAATATTAGTAACATTAGGATGAAATACAACTGCGTCTAGTACTACACGCGTCACACCTTTGTTTATTTTGAACATTCCCAGCTTTTTGTAAGCTCATTTACTACTATTTCTTGCTTAGGCAACGACGCACTGATCGCATTTACCAACTGAATTAAGAATTCATTTATTTTCAAATCCTAGTTTCTTTTGAGACTATTTTCATTCTAAATTTTTTCTTAGAAGATTATAACTGACCTTTGCCCTGACTGAAGACCTTACCTGATTGTGACGAATATAATCGATTTAGACTTTAAAAATGATAAGAGACAATATAAGATCAATGTTATGTAAATGATTAATAAGCTTTAAGCTTAAATAACCCCATTTAATGAGAAAGGAATTAATAAAAATGATAAAGACACACCCTAATATGACTATGGCAAAATATACCATTAAATATCGACTCTAAGCCAAATAAGTAATTGAAGTATTTAAATTTATAATAATTACAAAATACTGATATCTTCCTTCAACCTATACAAAACTAAGACTCTTGAAGTGTCTATCTAATGTGATATATCCAACCTAAACTGACACTTGTAGCTTACACAATTAAGTCCAAACTGAGTAGTCGAACTTGTCACTGTCGATGTATATGGGAAAAGTTCAGACAAACATTTACCATATATGTGGATAATTTTGGATACTATTTTGGTACTCATTTTTTGTACTGTACTGTCGGCGACGACACGGTCCATCTTCTTTGACCTATAATCATTAGCTTAGCTTAGTCAACCAGTGCTTATTCGTGTTACTGTAGAATTATTGACTATTTTATAAGTACATAAAATTAAGTAGGTATCTGAAAAGGATTTTGATAACGCATTGGGAATTCCGTGTCACGTGATGATAGAGAAGATAGGATCTCCTACTCGATTCTTGCACAATTTCTAACATAAGTAGATAGATAGAGATAAAAATAATATAGTATAAGTATACATTTTTGCTGATTCTGCGGCCAACTGACAATTTAAATTAATTTGGCTAATCGGCTAATTGCGGTGAAAAGGATTCGGAATGAAATTCGAGATTTGTAAAGTGGTTCCTCCTTTTTGTATTTTCATACCTATATACTATTACTCCTAATAATAATCTGAGATTACTGATTACTAATAATTCTAATCATTTTATTAATTTAATTTAATTTATTTTATTAATCTAGTAATTTATTTAATTTACATTAAATGTAATCATGTTTATTTAATCTTTATTTTAATTAAATTATTGTTAAATTATAAACGAAAATAGATAATAGTTGTTATTATTTTCATATTTTTATTAGATTATATTACGATTTGTATTAATTACACTGTAATTAATCTAAAATGATATTAATCAAATGTAGCATAGTTGTCGTGTAATAAAAAAGACCATATTAATTAGTTATTTTGTATTAAGTTCTCCTTCCATTTCGGTTGGTCGTGGTCTATCAAGGTTAGAGAAATTAAAACCGGGGCTTGCTCACTTCCATATATAAATATAACCGAGTAAATTAATAATATTATGATTTATTATTGTGATGGTAATGTAGGTTTTGGACCTAAAGTAAAGTTTTTGTATGAAGTTTAGCGACAAAATTGTAAGCGACGAATAGGAGTCTTGTTGACGACGATAGTAGTTCTGACGTATGGACTATGGAGTTTGAGAAATTGGAAACGAAATCTTAATTGATAGAAATGTTAAACTAGGTCTATCATTGATAGATGCGTTTTGGGGATGAGACTGATAAAGAAGAGGTAGAAAACATGCTTAGCTATACACCGCGAGGCTGATAAAAGCAATTGATTCTCATATCAGCTCCCAAAGTCCCTTCAAGGTTAAGCATAAGGGTATGCTTGAATGTAAACTTATTTATAAATAATAGTTAATTTTTTTAAAGTCTGTGTGCTTTATAAGGTCAATGTTAAGCTAGTCTCAACCGTTGCTAAGCTGTAATATTAAGTTTCATGAAAAAAAAAAGATTAATTTGCAATATTCAATTGTTTAACGTTGTATTTGTATTATTGCTGAATATTCTATCGATTAAATAATTATTGAATATTTAAATAAAAACGCTATGTCTCATATTTAAATTTTATGTGTTTTATTTTTTCTGTGTTGAAAGAAGTCTCCCTACTTTTTTTGTGGTTAGAACATTATCGTCTATTTATAAGTGGCCACTGCAGAGCAAAGTCCTATAATCTTAGAAAGAACTTACAAATAATTCAGAAAAAGTCACATTAGTGCTTGCCAGGTTTCGATCTCGCACCCTCATGCATGCAAAGCGTACGACTTAGCCACCGGGCCACGCGACAACGTGGTTCGAATAATATCCAGTAACAGGTATCTCCCATGCTGTGTAGTGCTAGAGGGACTATCAGACTCTTTCTGACTAAAAACCACCCTGTTCAAATTCTTGCTCCAATAAATTGCAGAATTTACGTAATTTATTATTTATTAGTATTTATTTATTTATGTAATTTACTCGCAGCTCTCTTTAAATCTCAAAGAGCGAATGATTGATGGTAAAAAGAAAGAAATAAAACTTGCTCATTCATTTAACTATAGTTTATTAACAAACAATATAAAAAATCCTAATGAAAAAAATACACATCATTAATTAACTAAATTGTGTGATATGAGTATTCACAATTATTTCGTAACAATAACCGCATTTTATTAGGCGCCATGTTTTTTTTTTTTGTTAAAGGTACCTTGAGTTGAACGTAGCTTACACGAGTACATTTTTTACGAACTGTTTTCTCTTCAATCGAATAGTCCGATATTTATTTCATCTAGTAAAATTAATCAAAAAAACATGGCGTGCTGCATTTCGTAAAAAATTGAAATAGGCACTTTCGCTTGCACAATTTTGTTTTTTTAATTACTTTGTAACAATACAATGAAAATTCTTCAAATGAGAAATCTTTTTTCATAGTCTATTACACTCTTAACTAAAATAATTAAACACTCGATTTCTCATTCAAATTATTTTCATTTTTTTTCTTTCCTTAATACCTAAAAATGCTTACATTTACTATGGCATTTTTTAAAATAATTCCATTTAATATCGTTTTATTGAATAAAGGCGAAAATAAAAATAATAAATTATAAGCACACAACATTTAAACATAGAAATAAATAAGTTAAATAAATTAGATAAGTCTTTGCTTTGGTGGTAAAAATAAAACGCCTCATGACACACACCTTTTTTCTCATAAAAATTATAAGAATTTATTTTTATTTTTAATAATAAGACTATTTATGAAATGCCTCGAGAATTTATGAGTAAAAATTATTGAGTTTTATTTATTTATGAGTAAAAAAGGGTGTAATAAAAAAGATAGACTAATAATGCAATTAGCAAAAGTAATACTCATTTAAAAAGTGAATGGATCTTGCTTTTCAGAGAGAGTCGAATTCCGACACGTCACTTGTCTGAAAAAAAATGCATAAAACATTAGTGATATAGCCATAAGTGTAAAAATATTTAAAAAAAGTCGGCGGAAATATTCAGAAATTGGAACTCACAAAGCTACGTACCAAAAGTACCACAATATATAGGTACTACACATAAGATATAAACAAGACACACAACAGAAACCAACTTTATTTATGTGGGAGAGCCAAGCTTAGGCAGGAATGCCGGCTTGACCGAAATCATACCATGGCCACAGAAAACCCGCGCGACACAATGGCAACATTGTGTTTCGCGTGTGATTAAGGTTAACTTAGGCCCAATCTTTTCACATCCCTTCCCAATCCCTAGATGCCCATCCTAAAAGGCCAACAACACACTCATAACTCCTTTGGTGTTGCGGGTGTCCTGGACGGCACCAATTGCTTACCATCAAGTATTCGGTCTGGTCAGTTGCCGACTATCACATCAAAAAACAAAACACAACACACAAACTATTAACGATACTTTTTTGGGTGCAAGTGTAAAGAAACTAATAAAAAATCTACAAAAGCAAATACTGGAAGATGCTAAAAGATACCCACTAGATCTGGTTTGTAGAGGTGCACGTGAGGCAAGAGGAAGGTGGATCCAAGGTCACGTTCAGCCATCGTGTGTTCCTGGGAATAGTGCAAAGGTTACAGAGTGCTTGGTAGAAGACCATGTTGCGGATAAAAGACTAGAAGCTTTTGATTTTGATAAGGGTGGTGGTAAGCTTGGCATTTCATTAGATGGTGATCTTGGGAAAGAAATACATGTCCGTAGCGCGTCGTTGCAGAAGCCTATCAGTTTTATACAACTCGTTGAAGACTAATCAGGTGGCGTGGCTGGTCGGTGTTGAGTCGTACTTTAGCCAATATTATGAAACCGGAGCGTTCTGTCACGGAATGATACGGTCATGTATTTCCAGCATTATTAATAATGGTTACACTAGCTGATGATCATAAAAACTTATTTGATACATACAAGATTAAGAACAGGCTTGCTCTAATTTTAGGGGGTTTAAATATAAATATTTTCAACGTTTTTATGATAGTGGCTAATGATAAAGAAAATGTCAATGTTAAACTAGGACCTATTAAAATTACTGACAAGGGTATAACAGGTAAAATACATGATGCAGAAATAAATTACATTTATGATACAAATGGAAAGAAGTTTGTCCTGACATTGATACTGACCTGGTGTGTAAGACGTGTTGATGAAGCAGCTCTTCCTGTACTCGCTGGAAGGGTTCCACCGACAGATCTTGCTTCAGACAGGGTCCTGGATATAGAAAAATACCTACTTTAGTACCTGTAGACTTAAAACTTATATAGGCTTATAAAACAACATTACTTAGTTTAAATATTCAGTTTAAATTTTTGTTGTCATGCTTATAACTTTTTCTTATTTTTTTATATTTTTATAATCGACAAGCGTATTTTAGAATTGTTATTTAGAACTATAAAATTTACTTACAATTCACCTAATCTTCTTTCGGCATCAGTCCATTCTGATAGATCTTCTTGGCTGGAAATTCAAAACAGATTTTTAAAACCATCATCGTGCTTTCTAAAGAATAAAAACTTTTCTTCTATTACTTCTTTATTATAAAGGTCATCATCATCATACCTGTAAGATTTTCTTAGCGTATCAAATCTTGCAAGTTCAGCCTCCAAGTCTCCTTTGGTTACTGAAGAGAGATCATCTCTTTCTTCCTTCATTGCTGCTTCATCTGGTCTAACTGTAGTTGATACTTTGAATCCTGCTGAGACTAGAGCTCCTGGAATTTAGTAAACAATTTCATCCTCAATAATCTTTCGTATTATCAAATTGTGGGAGAATCATTCTTCTGTACGAAGTGACCGACCCGACAGAATTGTTCGGAAACCGGCATAAAAAAAACCACAGCATTGTGTTTCTTTATATTATTAGATAACTGGAGGCCTAATGATTGCCTGATCTTTACCCATCCCTCAGCAATCCTTAAATTCCCGAAACCCCTTATCCCCTACGACAACGTGGCAACGCACTCGCAACTCCTCTATTGTTGCAAGTATCCATGAGCGGCGCCGACTGCTTACCATCAGGTAATCTGCCTGCGTTTGCTGTCGTATAAAATAAAAATTTTTTTGGAAACAAATTGGATTTTTGTTCTTAACCAAAAGTCGCTTTACCTTGTTTATTATGTCTATCTTTGTTGGCACTGTACGAAGACTCCAAACTATGTTTTCTTCTCATCTGAAATTCATTTTCAAAGCATTATTTGTGCATTCCAAATGAAGGTACAGGAAAATTCTAATAATTGCATTTATATTCTAAAATACTTGCCTCATCATTAGAAGTGGAAGCTCCAGACTCCAAATAACTAATCAATTTCGCTTCACTGCTGAGCTCCAAGCTTCTTTTTCTGGCGATGTTTTCACGGCTGTAATTGCAAAATATGTTTATTGTAGCTATACGAGAGGTGCACTAAGGATTAATTGACATATAGACGCGACGTGACTTAAGGATAACGAAAGAAGTTTTTTGCAATGAAATTATGTATATTTTTGTGTAGAAAATGTTTTTGTATCATGGGCTTTGAATTGATCCCGTCGCCCCTTGCTGTGCGCTGACTATGCTAAACATTGCATATTATTACTTGATTTCAAAATACTAGTGCCTACTGATGATATGAAAACAATGACCTGAATCAACATTCTTCAAAATTAACAAATGTCCGCTTTTAAACAAAACCTTTTGAAATGTTATCGTCCAAAATTATTTTGAATTCTACCTGCATAAAGCACTCAAGAACGTCTTTAACCGCTTGATTGATTATATAACATCAGCAAAATTTCTTAAAATTACTATATCTTATAATATGACACACACCTGTCGCCATGATGAGGGTGCAGCCTAGCTCTGGGGATCATGACGGCCGGAGCTGGTGGCGGTGGAGGATCATGAGCTGGTGGATCAGACATCACGCCTTTCTTGCCACTTGATGACGCTCTCTGTAATAATATATTGATTTAATTGTAAAAAATTGTAACCAAAAATTTTATTATAGCCCTTCTCCTAATTCATATTTTTGTTATGCAAGACAGCTCCCACCAATTCCCTAAACTAATGTATGCATATCCTTATGTACCTAACTTACTACCTAAGTTCATATTATGGAATACAAAAAATATATTAGTGAGTATTAAAAATATTTCTTCCACATATTCCTTATCCACGTTGCGCGTAATTAAAAACTTCGCTAAACCATTGGCACTAATAATCTGATGAAGATATCAATTCAGAAAAATATATTATGAAATGTTTCTAAAAAACAAATTTTTATGGAAAAGGTTGGCAAACACACTCTTAACTCTCTCTTAACTGGTGTTACAAGTGTCCATGGGCTTATCGGTCTGCCCGTTTGCCGACGATGGCATAAGAATATTTATTCTTAATGCAGCTCGCACTAGGTTAACTAAAAGGACCTACTTTCGCTGGTATGTAAGGCAGTGACGCATTCTGAATGCTAGAATTGTCTCCAGATTCTCCTCGTTCGCTGATTAACGCTCTTCTGTCAGCTCTCTGCTTTGGCATTGCACCCTGAAAAACAAGGAATAAGTTAGAATAATAACATTAAAATATAAAAGTTCAACAATTTATTAAATTGTGTGCGTTCGTCACACTAATATTGCATGTATCAAACATATATGCAATATTAGTGTGACACGGTTAGCGATAAATGACATATTATTCTATTCAGCAAAATCGGCATTTTATATTATTTAATTCTTAAGTGTACACACATAATATTGTAGGCTATACATGGCAAATACTCCCCAAATCAATATCCCAATACTCCCATTATGGAAAGGAATGCAAGTCCCTTTTAGGTATAGTTGTTTTCTCACAATACAGAACAAACGTTGTTTTTTAACTGGGCTTAGAATTGCTTGCCATTAGGTGACCCTTCTGTTATTGAAGCGCATTATATCATGGAAATAGTTACAAACAAATTTCAACTCTTTACCACAAAATCGCTTACCTGATGTAAGCTAGGCATGCTCTGTATGCAAGCGACGATGGAACGCTGTGGATGCGGCGCCCTGCGCGCGCGCCGAGTACACGCCATCACAGCACATACAGCCAGCACGACCGTCAGAAGAGCACCACACACCACCAAGGATATGAGGACCACTGTAATGCAAAAATAGTACTTAATAAGTAATCAAAATCAGTACAAAGACAGCAATGTATTTGGAAATCCTCTAAATCAACCTCAAAAAAGACCCAGAGGTTCGTCATCTCTAACCTAACTCCGAAATCAATTCGGAGTAATAATCATCAACCAAAGTACATATATGCATATATATGTACAAAAGAAAGTAATATATATGTCTATGAAGCCAGCTATATGATCGATGCCTCAAAGAGCCAACAGACCACGACAGATGGGGCCCAATAAGACTGATGTTCAGCCTGGGTTACCGATCAGGCGCAATAATGGACCACTGCCCCGCAATAATGGCTTGGTGCAGAAGAATATAGGTAAATATAAATTTGAAATAAAATATAAATTCGCGACAGGGTGCGTGCGAGCCGATACCTACATCTTCGGCACAGTCGGCGACGTAACACAGGAAAGGGGCGGGGCTTGCGCGCTCGCTTCCTTAGCGATAAGAGCGGCATGTATTTGGCGCGTAATTATGTAGGCTTTTTACTATTTCCGAGTTCGCTTTGCGCTCTGTGTTCATGAATACTGTATTTTATCGGACAATTAGATGAAAAATAAAGGTCATAGTTTTTTTTAACACATTTGAGACGAGAATCGAATGCTGATCACCTTTCCTTCAATAAGTCCGTCGTTCAAATTTACATACTGTGTATACCTATAGAATATAGGTGCCACTAAGAGTCTGCCTTTCTCTTTCGCGCCAAGAAAGGCGAGACAAAACATTTGATGATTTTCAAAATTGATTTTGAAACCTTAAAAAGGATTTCTCTTCCAATTTTGCTCCAAAACTTACCCTTCAGGTTAATCTGACAGGAGCTACCGGCGTACCACTGGAAGCACTCGCACAGCACTCTTCTGTCATCCCTCGAATAACAAGCGCCGTGATAGTTACACCTTTCACATCCCACTGGTTCGGCTGCAAGAAGATTGTAAGGCATTCATGTGACTTGAAAATCAACTTTAGGGTCTTAGTTTTAAAGGATATCTTTGTTTGTTTGCTTTATGGGTTTATTCTATTTCATATGTATTTGATGATGATGGATAATATTAGTCGTCATGGTGGCCCGGAAGTTAAGTAAGGCGCCCGCTTCTCATACATGATAAACCTGGGCTCGAAACCTGGTAAGTACTTTTCCGAGTCGTATGTAAGGTCATTTAGACACCACTGACAAACGGTGAAGGAAAACATTGTAAGGAAACCTGGACTTATAATTTCTTATTATAAGTTTGAAATCGTCTTAAGCAAACGAATGCTCAAACCTTCTCCGTGTGAAAAGAGGCCTTTGCTCAGCAGTGGGCACTTAAAGGCTGATGATAATGATAATTATAATGAGTAATAGTATCGCAAAAGACCAAAATCCTTGTGCCTTAAACCTAACTTTATCAAGAATCAGAGAACTTACCAGAACAAATTCTGCCAGGGTACAACGCGTTGACGCTGAGGTCAGCAAAGCCTTCAAGGCAGCTGCAAGTATAGGTACCGCGAAGATTGAAGCATTGTGCATGCTCAGAGCAATCATGGAACTGGCCACTGACGCACTCATCGAAGTCTGTAAACCAAGAAATTATAGCTTTAAAATTGAAACGACTGATGCGATGAAACCCCGAATCTTTGGAGAAATCAAAAAACTAACTTCATATCACATCCAAGTATGTGCACCTAAAACGTTTTGTTTTTTTTAATTAAACTTTAAACTGATAAATAATTTTGAAATACAAATATAATTCCTAAGAAATCAGAAGCATAAAAAAAATTAAAATCCATCGCGTATTTATCTGATAACTAGCTTTTGCCCGCGACTTCGTTAGCGTAGAATTAGAATTATTAATGCAAATTTTAGGTATAAAAACTATCCTATGTCCTTTCTCAAGTTCCAAACTATGTCTGTACTAAATTTCACAGAAATCGGTTCAGTAGTTTAGGCGTGAGGAAAAGACAGACAGACAGACTAGTTACTTTCGAATTTGTAATATTATATTAATTCAGAATAGATAGACAGATAGATATAATTGAGAATAGAAAATCAAACAGTTGATAAATCGACCAAAAAAATGGCACTTAGTTATTACTTACCACTGACATCCAATTTTTCCATCAGCTCACTAGCAGCATGGACCTCTGTACCTCCGAGACTGTAGTTATTGTTCCTCAAATACTTCTCTATGACCTCCTTGAGTCTGCTCTCATGTGCATTGTCTGAGAGCTGGAAATTATTAAAAGGATTTTAAGAGCAGTGATGTTTGTGATACAAACTTTTTGCCTGAATTGTGAATCATCACTACATTGTATAAAACAAAGTCGATTTTTCTATCCCTATATCCCTTCGTATGTTTAAATGTTTAAATCAACGCAACGGATTTTCATGCGTCTTTTTTTAATAGATAGTGATTAAGAGAAAGGTTTATATGTTTAATAATAAGTGGTGAAAATAAATTTGGTATCAGCATTACATTCGTGCGACGCCAGGTCGGGTCACTAGTATTGAATTATCATATACGAGTAAATGATCCTTCTATTGTAATCAAATTATCAATATATATATTAAAAACGACTGCCATTGATATGATTTGTTAATTCTTTTGAAACATACTCAAGGATAAGTTCATTTTATTTTGTTTTATTTTCGTATCGTAACACAAAATAATTATTGAAAACTAGCTAATCCCGAGCGATTTCACTCGCTACTCGGTTCCATTTGATTGTAGCGTAATGGTTTATAGCCTATAACACTCAGGAACATTGTAGCTACCTATCAGTGAAATAATTTTGGCAATCCGACCAGCGGTTCCAAAGATTACCCCCTACATACAAACTTATAAATATTACCTCTTTATTATATACGTGAATGTATACGAACGATACATTCACGTGAGTGGTGTCTAAACAATCACAGAAAGTATATATATTATGTATAATTTGGAAAAAGTCACATTGGTACTTGCCAGGTTTTGAAACCGCACGCATGAGAAGCGGAGGCCTTAACCTCCGGGTCACAAAGACCATATTTTATAGGTTTTATCATTCTAATGAAATAAAAAAATTCTTGCCTTCACTTAGCACCATTACCTGTACATAGAAGTCGTTCATCACACCCTGGTACAAGTCTCCTCCTGTATTCTTCATTTCCACTGGGTGGAAGCCATTGATATGGACCCCGTGGTAGACGTCCCTCAAGTCTGATTGCATAATCATCCTGTTGATGCCTTCATGAGAAGCCACGGCTAAAGCATGGTACTCCTTACTTGAGTTATCCGATAGTTTATCATGGAATTCCAATCGTTCATTTCCTTGGGATCCAAGAGCCAGTTTCACGGAGTAGGTGTATGTTGCTGGAAAATGATAGGTTATTTAATTATATTTAAAAAAAAATTATAATGTTACACTGCAACCTGCATAAACGCTGTTATGAGCATTTTGATTTTTTGGCAATAAAGAAGTGGACCAGAAAGGACACTGGTGTCCGTTTACGGTTTTGAACATCGCAACCAAAATAAACCTTATTACTTACGTTTACAAGGTCTGTCAGGGAACATTCTAGCGAATCCAGGTCTGCACACACATTTCATTAGTCCATCAATCCTCTGGCAGCGCTCGTTCCTCGAGGCTTTACAATCTGGCTGGCATTCCTTACCGTATGGCACACCTGTAATATTAATTTATATAATAAACATTTGTGGATCCAAAAGAAAATTAATTTCTTCACACCTACTGTCGCTACACTTATTTTGATACAAAACTCCTGAATTCTCTATAAATATCATGGGGTCTTAATTCTCAAATTGTGTTTGAATCAATTATAATCGAATAAGGTATTAACAACATTGAATATTCTAAAATTTGAAATTCTAGTACTACTTACCATTAGGATTAACATTAGTAGTTTCCAAATAAGGCGTTCCAGCTAACAAAATCTCACCAAACAATACTTGTGACACGCCATTGTTATTTACTTGTTCATTCCTGGTCACATCGTAATCTCCTGTCTCAATATCAGTAGTTACAGGCGGGGATTGACCTCCATTCTGTGATTTATTCATAACAACGAAGAAAGTATCATTATCATTCTCAGTATCACTATCGTTCTCAATCTTCTGAATGATATTATCAGTTGTATCAGTATCTCTGATTATAAGATTATCATTCTCTTCTGAAGACATTGTAATATCATCTAAGGATACTTTAGTTTTTGGGATTATTTCTTGTACTGGTGTTGGTTGGACTTGTATCGGTATGTGTTTTGTCACTGTCTCTATTATCGTTGTAGGTTGCACTTGTGTGTGTACTTCCGTAACGACGTCAACGATGGTTGATGTCTGTGTGTTTGTTAGTATAAGTGTTTGTGTTACAGCTCCTTCTGATTGACTGACTAAACTTGTCTTAGTATGTGTGACAGTTAAAGTGTGTGTCAGGTTTACATAGCCAATGCTAGATACTGTTTTCGGTGGTTCTGACAGTGTCTTAGTGAGGGTGACGACAGTTGTTCTAAATTCAGTCTTTGTTGGTATAATTTCGTCTGATATCTTGACTTCGTTACCAGCGTGATGAGTTGGTTTTATTGTTGTAATTTCTTCTACACTTGGTGTTGGAATGCTAGAAGGAAGGCTATTTAAAACGCTTGAGGGTAAGCTGGAAGGTTCTCTTTCTACCAGACTTGTTACTTCTAATTCAGCTATTGTTGGTGGTGTGTTTTCTTTCAAGACTTCCGTTGGTCTAATGAAATCTTCGTCAATAGATGATTCAGAACTTTCAATAATACCAGTTGGTATAATAGGAGGAACCCTTGTGATTGGTCGTACAACCTTTCTTATAGAAGTGTGCCTTGTCGGATACAAGATTTCGGGTCGAGATAGAGTTCTAGTGGGTTTGATAACGGATGTAGGTTTAGGAGGTATCTTGTACTTGCTAGTAGTAGTTTTCTTTTCATCTATTCGTACTGGGTAAGGTTTGCGAGTTCTATTCTTGTTGCCAAGTGGAATTACCTTCATTTTATCAGTTGTAGTTTCTTCTTGACTTGTTTCAGGTGAATATTCACTAGATTCTGTAGTGGGTGTTGTAATCTTAGCTGTTGTCGTTGTAGTAGTAGTAGAAGTACTTGCATCTGTGCCAGATTCTTTAGAAACAACCACTCTATCATCTGTAATTGGTTTCTCGTAACTAGCTTCATCGTGAACACGTTCAGAAGATGATTCCGTTTCATACGAGTAAGAGTTTTCTGAGGAAGACGATACTTCAGAAGAATCGGGAATCTTGGAGGGTTCTGGGGATTCAGGGAATTGAATGGACGTTGGGTTGAAGTTAAAGCTAGAAGAGAAATCTATGCCAGAAGAGGTTAACCAGCCTGAAGAGATTGGTGTTGGGAAGACCACATTAGGAACATCTGGAATGCTAACTGTTGGTGCTGGTACTTCTACAGGACTGACAACCCTAGATGGGATATCTCTAGGAGGAGGCAAAAGCTGTGAAGATGGTTGATCACGGTTGTAAGTTGGTCTTCTAATATTATTAATTATATCAAAAGCGGGCCTGTAAGTTGAAATCTCGTCCCTGTTAACAACTGGTTTCCTAACCGGTCTCTGAGTTGTTACTCGAGGTGGAACCGGCCTTGGTGGTTTAGTTCTGTATGGAGGTGGAGTTCTTATGGGAATAGCTGGACGAGGAGTCAAAGGAACTCTTGTTGGAAGTCTGATACCAGGAGGAGTTCTTGGAGGAGGAGGACTCATACCCATAATCATCTCATCATTTGTAGATGGCTTGAAGTTATAGTCCATTGTTGGTGGCGGTGGTGACAGATCAATGATTTCACTGGAAGAACGATTCAGTTCTAAGTTAGATAACGTAAATGTCGGTAGAGTTGTTTTTTCTGTGGCTTTTTCGACAATCAATGGTTTTTTGTCTTGAATATGAACTGTAGATGTTATAATTGATTCGTTATGCACTTGCGTGTTATTGAACCGATTGGCAAATACGGGTCTAGATGGCCTCTTGTATTTTGTATTAGATTCCGTAACATAAAGAGGGTTCGAAGACGAAGTTGGCTTGAATTTTGATGGTTTGTCCATTTCTTCTCCGATGTTCAAATCAATGTTATCTTCGTAAGATGCATTTGTAGCGTTTTCCATCATATGATTTATTTGCCAATGAGGTTGTTGTAACTGATGATCAAGAACAATTGCAGTGTTTATGGTGAAGGGTCTTGGTTTATTGTACGGATTATTTTCATAAATTGGTTTTATCGTATTAGATTGGAAGCCGGTATTATTGTAAGAACTAAATGGCTTTTCGGTTTGTGTACCAGGATTAAAGTTGACAAGAACTTTGTTAGTTTCACCTTTCTCCTCGTTTTTGGGTGAATCAAATACTTCATCTTGTAGAAGAGTTATCTCAGTAGAAGATTTACTATCGATTTCGCTTGAAGCACTTACTACAGGAATTTTCATGGATTCTGAACTAACTTCTCCATCAATTTCACCTGCGTTATCTGGTTCATCTTCTCCATCATATATTTCTTCTGAATTTTCATATACTGGCTTTATTTTGTCAGTCGTTACTTTAATTTTGGCGGTAGTGGTTTCGTCACTATTATCTCTAATTGGAATGTCATAAGCAGGCTGTCTCATTCCACCCAAATTGGAAGGAATATAATTAATGTTAAATGGTTTAGTTGTAAACGGTGGGTTTGTAGATAATGGCTTTTCTGTCGTCTGAGGTTTAGTAAAAGGCTTTCCTATATTAAAACCTGTTACTGTTGGTCCATTTTGAGACCATAATTCGGTGGGTGGTTTCCCAACACTTGTAATTTTTTGTCCAAAATGAGGTGAATTATTTTTCTCATTGTAGTCGTGAATCAATGGTATAATCTTCCTAGTAGTAGCTTCTACTTTAATGTTATTAACAATGTTGTTTTCATTTAGTACACTAGAATACCAACCATGGGAATTTGTTGGTATGTTTGGAATTAATTTTGCTGGTCTCTTGACATCACCAGATTTCACGTTGTCTGGATATTCTGTGACTGGCGTGACATTTTCTTTGTCTGTTGAAGACGTTGAATAATCGTTCATCATCGGGAAGTTAGCGTGACTGTTAAGAGACGGTGGGATAGATGGATTTGCAGGATTGCGTACATTTTTGTCTCCATAGTTTTGATACTGATTTTCAAAACTGGGCTGTTTATTCTGGTTTCCATAATTTTGGTTTGGTTTTTCAAAGTCTTTGTTAACCTGGTCTTGGTTTTTGTTAGCATAGTTTACGTTTCCAAAGTTTTGATTTTGAACGGAGAAGCTTGATGGTTTGTTTTCATATGTAGATGGCTTGTTTTCATGCGTCGGTTGTTTGTTGGCATTGTTTTGATTGAAGATTCCGTCATTTTGGTTCTTGTTATTGTGATTCTGATCCTTAATTTCTGTATTTTGATTGTTATTTGCGTATTGATTTTGATTTGTATTAGCGTAATTTTGATTCTTATTAATATTGTGTTGATTATGATTGGTGTAGTGATTTTTGTCTTGATAGTTTGTGTTTTTGTTTCCATAGTTTTGATTATTATAGCTATTCCCTACTATTGTTGATTGAATTGTATCTGAAGAGCTCTTGTTCCATCTATTGTCACCTACAGAAACTTGGGTTAGCCGGGTATTATCATTGAAAACAGTTGGTCTGTTTGAATTGACTTGCAAATTATATGACTCTAATGGTGATGTATTATCTTCTACTCTAATTGCAAAGTTGGTGCCTATAGGTATATCTGTGTTGAGTTGGCTAACATGAGTCGATGTTCCTACCGGCACAGCTACACTAGAGCCAATTACTTGCCCTGCCTCGTTATTGCTAGCAACATTAGTAGCGGTATTCAGGGTTACAGTATAAGTATTATCCTTATCTTCGCTAACTTGTGGCACAAAAGATTTATTAGCCATATTTGGGGAAGATATCACTGAAAATGTATTTTGAATCGATCCTACGTTGTTGACTTTCGGGGGTTGCATATTATTTGTAGCTTGATTGTAGGTGTTATAGTTCGGTGACGCTGGTGGAATTCGGATTGTATAAGTAGGAGTAGGCTTGCTGTTTGGCATCTGCGCAGCGAAGTAGATTTCGGAAGTAACTTTAGGTGGTAATTGCTCAGGTACTGGATGCTGAATATTCAAAAATACTTTCATGTCTTGTACTGGTTTCGTGTGAACTATAGGCCTTTGGCTATAGGGCTTACTCTTGTCATAAATATTATCTTGATTATAATATTGTTTTTGAGGAACCTGCTGCGGTGGGGGAGGTACAGCCAAATAATTTTCGTATTCTTTATCAATTACTTCCTTACCATCCTTCGGTTTATCTTTACCCCTGTGTTTGTTATATTTTTCAAAATCACCATTATTTGGATTGTATACTTCTGGATCATAAACAGTTATTTGTGGGCCAACTTGCACGTGAGTTTCTTGGTTGCTTGTTGGAGGGGGTATCTTATTGTAGTCGATTGGGCGTTTGTTATCTTTCCATTTTATTTTCAGATCATTTCTATGCGATTGGTCTTTGTACGGTGGCAAATTGGGTTTGTAATTATCTAAAGGTGGGTGAACATTCGGTTTGCCAACATACTGTTTATTTGTATTAGCTGGTACATTATGAACATTGGTCATTTGTGGTGCATCTATACTAAAACTGCCAAAGTAACCAGGCTCGGGGTATGGTAGAGGATCATCGATATAGTCACCAGTTTTGTGTGGTTCAGAGGACCCAGCAAACACCAAAGCTGTAGAACTACCGTGAGGAATGAGTACGTTTGCAACTCTTGATGGTTGGATGTCAACTAAGAAAGGTTTATTTGATTCAACATTTCCTGCCACTGTGAAACTGTCCTCTGTTCTTATTTGTGTATTTACAACCTCAGAAGAACTTGGACTGTTATCAGGAACAGAGTCAGCATGAGCTTCATTGACAGGCTTAAAATCAATGTTGTGTTTAATGGGAGCATTCGTAGGTTTCGCTAAAGATGGAATGTAATCTAAAAATGCTGGTCTACCATGGTTGTTTAATACAGGTAAATTAGTTTTAATTTGTTCAGTTTTCATTAAATGGTCATGTATACTTGCTGGCATGCGATAAGGGTATTTATCATTCGGTGCAGAGTTTTGAACATTAAATGATTGCATTGGTCTTGACATAGGCCTGTTTGGTTTCGGATTTGGTTTGGGTAAATCAGGTGGCCTCAAATCATAAGAGTCGTCACTGGGCGGTTGATCACTAAGTGGTTTCTCGTTTACAAAGTATTGTTCGTTTGCTGCAATAAAACTATCAATAGGCGGAGGATTGACCGAGTTTTGCAATTTGATTCCACTTGCGGCCAAGGTTAAAGGTCCACCCACGGCTGGTTTCCCAACAATGACGTCTGAGTTGGCTGTTATTATTTCACCGGGACTAATGGGTATACCGCCGTTGACGAGTGGGCTTTCATGCACAATTTTAGGTGGAACAATGTGTGCTTTAGGTTGCTTATGTTCAGCTGCCCACGCCAAGTTCTGATGTAATGTAGCATTAGTAAACACTAGTTGAGATTCAGAAGTTTCTAATTCGTCTACTGGAATATAAATTGGAAAGTTATTGTGTTTTCCTTCTAAATCATTGTCTACTCTTTTGTTTGCAGTGTAAGCGGTCAACTTGACAGCAGGCTTGACCGTCGTACTTGTGGTTTTATTGAGTGTATCTTGTCGTTTTATAAAGCCACCTGTCATCTTCTCAATAACCGGTGCTAATTGCGTTAGACCTTTAATTCCCAAAGTGCCTAATTTTAAAAGATCAGCAACAACGAACTTGTTTTTGTTAGGTTTCTGTGGTTTGTCTGGTTTCGTTTTTTCTGGAACTTTCGTATTTACTTTATTTGTTTTTGGTGGAGCTGGCGCCTGTTCATTTGTCAATAACTCACTTTCTTCAACTGAATTTGAATCTTTTTCATCAGAGTAATCGTTGATGACTTCAGTATACTTTTCAACTACTTTATCGGTTGGTGCTAAGTGGGAATTAGTTTCATATTCATAAGGTCCGTACTTTGTTTTCTTATCAGTGGATTCTTTGTTTGTTGGTCTTAAGTCTAGTTTTGTGGCTCCATAGTTCGTCGTCTTCATACCATACTTGCTTGATGATCCAGAAAAGTTAATGTTGCTGAATTTAGTCTGCAAGCCTTCTGTTTTTGTGTTGCTACAGGAACAGGAACTAGTGCAAGGTGGATTACTGACTTCTGATGGCTGGATAAGATCGAAACTATTACTGTCATCTTCTGCACTGTCAATTCGTTTATCAATCTTTGGGTAGGTGCTCATATACATATTGGTCGCTGCTGATGGTTGGATGGTCTTGACTTCCATGTATTTAGTCTGAAAGATTTTAAAATTTTAGTTAGTAGCGGTACAACAAGAAAATATTTTTACATGGATATAATGGGGTCATAACTATTAAATAAAAGGGCCTCTATCAGAATAATTGTGAGTGATGAATAGAAGTGTTATGTATTAATAAGAATGGTGTTATCTAACTACAAAAAGTTAAAACACTACAGAGATAGAGACGTTTTAGAAAAAAAGGTTAAACTACAGGTCTACTTAAATATAGGTCGAAGGGTCAAATAACTCGGAATGATGGAATCACTTGGGAATTGACCAACCAGGGTCCCAAATCTTACTTTTGTCGGCTTTAAGTCTGGTATAACATCTGTATCGTAAAGGTTGGTAAGAGATTCTGTAGTAACAACTGAGACTATGGTCTCAAATGTTGATATAGCACTCCTTTTGTTTTGAACCACGGTTGTTAAATATGTGTAAGTGGTCATACAAGTCTTGATGATATAGTTATGTTGCATGAGCTGATGTAAAGGGAAGAGAGCGCTTATTTGCTGGCGACTGACGACAGTAGCGACTGCAGATGATAGCAATTGTTTTGATGCTGAAGATGAACTGTGGTACGGTTGTAACGTGGTGGCGTGAATGAGCTTTAGTTTGCGCTGAGAAAGAAGCGTAGATGAAAATGAAATGAATGCTGCTAGATTCACTACAAGATGAATAAAGAAAAAAAAATGTCACTTCTACAGATTATTTTCATACAAAAATATCTTTAGAAAATTCATTCGCTTTTAATTTTCATTTCAAAATTATATAAATAATTAGAGTAATAAGGAATTGTACCTGTTCTTGCTTTGCATCAGCATTTTTATCCTTGACCAAGACTTCCACCCCATTCGACATTATCCTTGTGGCTAGATTCTTTAACCTTCTTTCATCCTCTTCAGGTTCTTTTGCCTCTAAATCCATGTCTCTTCCTGGTCTCCAAGGCGTATTATCATATACAATACCATTACTGTTAAATGCTGGAATATTAAGATGATAATTATTATCATTGATCTCTGTTCTAAAACAATCTACAAAAGCATTTAATTTAATGAAGTCAGCAACATGTATGTGAAGCAAGAATTTATTTAATTAAAAATTTATTACTAATCAAAATCTTTATGTGTTATAAAATAATAATAAAAATCATCAGATTCTGTGCATTACGGTAACACACAATAAAGCCCATTCTACAGCATAACATTCCTGAAAAACAAACATTTGTGCAAAGCTGTTAGTAATAAACTAAGAACTATTCAACTAATATTACAACTAATTGGACGGAAATTACATAAGACCAGCTCATTTAATAATTCTAGCATGAAAACATTAAACCAAGTGAGATTTTAACTCTTAGAGAAATGATATAATGTTTATTAACTCTGCCACGATAAAATAACTCGTTACTCAAACCAATAAAGATCATAATGAAAATATTGTAGCAACACCTTGTCGATATTAAGATAGCGATCAGAATTTTCATTAGCAACACATGTGGCTAATAGATTGTAACGTCACGAATCTATTTCATTTCAGACCATGTTATTATTGCAATTATGCGGAATCGCGTGACGAGTTGCGCGTGCACCGGTGTCGTTAGAACCACATACAGACAGGCTGTTTATACTTTTTTCTGTGATGTCTTATGTAATTTCTATCTGGATTTTAGTTTTTATCTACACTTATTATTGTATTCTGTCAGAAATTAGTCATATAATTTCTATATCTATGAGTGTCATTTTAGTGTTTTTTATTACTTTAGTGTTAAAAGTAACTCTATATACATCTAATTCAGTTAGAATATTGTCAGATGTTCTTGAATATTATTCATGGATGTCGTCTTTTATATCTTGTCCTACTTTTTTGCTGTAGATTCTTAAACTCTGTACGTAAGCATGTTAATTGTACATTCATCAACCATTACTAGGCGCGTTTCCAGGCGCTTTAGATAGAACATATTCAAGAAGATCTGGAGAATTAAATTAATATACATTAACGAAACACTAATTACACTCACCTCCAAAATTGGAAGTCGCAGGATGTGGGTATGGAACCATCCGTCATTTGGGAACCTTCGGGATCTTCGTGTTTCTGATGCTGTCCAGTCTGTCCGTCTTCTAGTCTTTTGTCGGGTCCATGTCAAGTTCAGTTGTATCTGGTCTAGTCTTTACGATGTGGTTGGAAGGTAGGAGGAATGAATTGTGTGATTGTGTCTTATGTCGTAAGATTTTTGTAGTAGTATTGAGTCTGTATTTCTTTCTGATAGTTTGCTATTCGAGTATTGAATTAAGAATTGATATGTTTGTAGTGTTATGTATATCGCATTAAAATGTCTTTATTTGTATATGAAATATATGTGTTTAATCATTTTTGTTTGATACGCACAAAAGAAAAAACAGAATTAATTTTATACATTTTATTGTTTTAATTTTAAGTCGTATTTGCAATGTACAGTCGTAAGCAAGAAGAACGAGTATTAAAAGGTAAATATGATAATCTAGACTTATCTTAGGCAGTGAGTAATCGTTACCCAACAATTTTTCCCCAACACATTGATTATGGTAACATAGGAAATAACATTTTTGGTGAACTTATATTAACATGTTAATATCTAGTCAAGTACAAAAGAGTATTTCGTGCTTAAAACTAAACTAAATCTATAAGGCACTATTCCATAGTTAACTTACTATGATACAATCGAAATAAATAACTAAACCATTACTATACACCTAACCGTTTGTATATTTCACGAGACATCGTCAATTGAACTTTGCCTTAGGTCCCTCGTGGCGGATGGGCTGGCTGCACTCACAACATATGTTGGTGACGCGTCATACCTAATGTGTTTACTGACCTCTCCCACTATACTCTCTAAACTTTGTGTCTCCACTTGATTTTCCACCGAAGCATTGTTAAAGTACTTTTCAGAGTCTGTAACAATGCCACCGTCTACATAAGACCCGCTAAGTTCACTGATCGTTGGCAGTAAAGATGGCAGAACTTGAACATTATCGTAATATATGGCTTCACGTTTTCTTACGGTTTGTGTGTCATCTGACACAACTGTTGATAGCACTGTGCTGAATTCACCAGGATGTCTACCTGATACGTATAAAGTCACTACGCTGGTGTGTTTGGGAGGGCCCACGGGGGCAGCTGCTGCAGCAGGCTTTGGACGAGACTTCCTACGGGAGGGAGCAGCCGGCGGTGGCGGTGGAAGGTCTTCCTCAACATCTTGTCCCTCACTATCTTCAGAAAAGTCCTCATTGCTATTCAGATCAGAAAGGATGTTTGGTTTTGGACTGTTACTGTAAATGTCATTGTTCAAATTATTTTGATGGTTCAAATTCGGTGACAGGTTTAAGTTGTTAAAGTTATTAAGACCACCTAAGGCAGCTAGATCTGCCTGACCTAAACCTAGCAAAGGATTAGCGGTTTGCAAGTTCAGTGCGGGTTGCTGTTGTTGCTGCTGTTGTTGGAGAAGTAGAGGAAGAAGTAATGAGTTGAGCTGAGGTGCCTGAGCTACTGTTGGGGTAGTAACTACAGTATCAGTGACAAATTCAGTTGCCGTAATGACATTGGTGGTAGGGTCCACAATCGTCGTTAGGATGGCCTGACCTCTAAACGTGATAGGTAACACAGTCTCCCTAGCATCTGTAACTGTGGTCACGTAGGTAGTTGTGCGTGTTTTGTATTCAGTTACTGGAGTTTGTACTATTGGTTGTTGAGGAATCAAGCCCTGTCCTTGAAGGGCAAGGAATGGGTTGATTGCCGGTTGCTGGTTGCCCAGCAACAGTTGTGAAAGCAAAAGATTAGCGAGAGGAACGTTCGAATTAATCTCTGGTGCAATCGTTTGAGTAACGGGTTCTACGTTGTAAACAGTACTAGGAAGGATGTGGGAAAAGGATGTCTTACGACCTCTGATGGTAGTAGGTGTGAAAATTACAGTAGTTGTAGGAGTTTCGTGTAATAAGTATTTAATGATTTTAGTGGCTCCATTGTCAGCTAACTCAGTGGATTCTGCAGCGAGCACTAGTTGTGGGTTGCCTAAAGGTCCGAATGAAGTTGAAACTTGGTTAAGCAGTAATGTTTCTAGACGAGGTGTTGCTGATAGCAAGTTTTTGTACTCGGTTATCTTTCCATTCACAATTGGCACTGTTACTTCTGTTGGTATTTGATGTGTGATAGTGATCTTTCCATCATTTAAAATGTTTTTCACGTTGAAGCGTTCACCACTGAAGTTTTCGAAAGAACTCCTTTGTCTGCTGTTAGCTCTGCTGGTAGTGGTACGTGTTCGTGAATTTCTTCCTGAACTACGGGAGGTACTAGCTCTTGAGCCTGAAGAGTTTTTGTTTAATCTGGGGGACTTAGGTGTCTTAGGTGGCTTAGGCCTGGTGGAAGTCGTAGTTGTTCTTGATGATGGTCGAGATGACTTTCCTCTTCTGTATGCCGGGGTAGATGTGGTAGTTGTAGTTCTAGTTTCTCCACGGACAACGAATGGTTGGCGTGCGTTTGATTTGGGAGCAATGGCAGTTGTTGTTCTTCCGGCACTAGAAGAACGTCCATTATAGCGATTACCAGGTCTCACTTTTTGTGTAGTTGGCTCTTCAGTTTCAGGCTCTGGGCGTCGAGTAGTTGTTGTTTTAGTGCCTGGTCTCCTAAAGTTTGTATATTTCCTACTCCCATAATCAGCTTGACGTTTAGTGCGCCGTTTAAAAGCAAATGGCCTTATTTGTACTATATTTCTCCTGGGAGCGGTAGCGGGAGGTGGCTGTGCTACTTGACGTTCCTTTCTATCAGATGAATCATAATCGTTGTCTTCTTCAAATTCTTCTTCTTCTAAGATTTCTTCGCTGTCTTCTACCTTCTGCTCGTCTTCCTTTATTTCTTCTTCAGGTTCTGGTTCCGGTTGTCTGAATAAGTTTCTTCTGGGGAAGAGTGCATTTGGTCTATTTCTACGTAACGATAGAAGGGGACTTGATGTAGTTCTAGTTGTGGATCTTCTAGTTGTCGTAGTTAGTCTGCCTCGAGGCGTGACTGCCCTTCTAGATGATGCTGTAGTTGACCTAGGAGTAATAGCTGTACCAGGTTGTCTTGGAACAGGGGGTCGCCTAAATCGGAGAAGTGGATTATTTGTTGTTCTAGCAGGCGCTTCAGAAACCTCTTCTAATGCTTCGGTTGCGTTTTCTTCCTGTTGAGTTGCCAAAGTTTCATCATTCTGATCTGGTGGGAATGTTATTGAGGCTGATGGCCTAACTCTGCCTGGTGGAAGCCTGCTTGACGCAGTAGGTCTCACCCTCGGTGCTGCTGATCTATTGATATAATCTAAGCTGCTTGGTCGACCTGAACTAGATCGGAAACCAGTTCTTCTAGATGTAGGTTGAATGCTTCCCCTCACAGCAAAACCTCCCGGCCTTGAAGCTTGTGGGGCATTAGCAGATGGATTATTAGCGCTAGCGCGCCCTGGGAACCTCTTTCCTGCGCTTGATGAACCAGGGTACGCTGTTTGTTTTCTGTTACCACCGAATCCGGATGTTTTGACTGATTTCAAACTTGGTGTAGCAGTGATAACAGGTGGTGTAAAGTCAGCACGTGTGATAGTTGTAGCTCCACTAGACAATGGTACACGTTTAGGAATGAACGTTGGTCGATTCCGTGATGCGAATGGTATGATCACAGGAGTAGTGGATGGTTTCTTTGGGGTGAACGTAAGACGAGATTTCTTCCTAGTGTTAGTGCTATCATCTTCTTCCTCCTCTGACTCATTTGGAGTTTCAGTAGTAGGCTCAGGTTCTGCTACAGAGCTCTCAATCACTTCGGGAGTAGGACTAATAATGTTACTTTCAGTGGTTGTCGTTGTTGAACTGGTCGTGTCAACAGTCAAAGATTTGTTGTCACTGGTTACAACTGTAGAGTCTCCAGATATGACAGCCACTTGAGAGAATAATATTTTCTTTTCCCCTTCTGGAGCTGGTGTAGATGGTTTATCTGCTGGTTTTACTTCCGCAAACAAGTTATCAATGTAGGTGCCTAGAAGTACCGTACCAGGAACTGAAGAAGCATCAGGTAGTTTTGTAGGAATAATTTGTTCTTTTACGACTGTTGGAGCTATGTGTGGTTTCTCTCCATTGTCCTGAATCAAGTTCTGATCCGCTGCACCAACTGGTACTTTCCTACCTAGTTGGTTGTCTTCAACAAGCTTTGTGTTATCAACAATATTGGTAACAGTTTCCAAGCTACTTCTAACCTGAGAAGTGTTACCAGCGTAGAAGGTAGTGAAATATGTGTACGTGGTATAGAATGTGGCCTTGCCATCGTCGGGTTCCAGATTGTCTGAGACTAGAGACGGTTTTAGTTCTACTTCTAACTCTTTAGGTGGCAAGCTAGTGTCAACATCAATGGGGGTAGTGTCAATAGGACTGATTGTGGCCACTGATTGAGCGACAGGTGTAACCACGTTAGATACGATCTCTTCGCGACTTGTGATGGTGGTAGACTTGTCTTTGTACAGAGTAGTCCAATAAGTAAATGTTGTGTAGTAAGTAATTGGAAGGTTACTCTCTTCTTCGGGTTCTTTGTTAGGCATGATAGTTTCTGTGACCACATTTGTAATTGTCTCCAAGCGGCTCTTAACCTTACTAGAATCCTTACCGATGTACATTGTGGTGAAATATGTGAATGTTGTGTAACTTGTTTGCAGTAATAGAGTAGGTGATGGTAAGATCTCTTCTATGTTACTTTCTGAGCTGATCTGGTCGTCTAAAATAATATTGTTATTGTCAAGGAACTTCCTTTCTCCTTTGGAAGAAGAAGACTTAATGTCAGTAACGTAAGAGTTTTCGGATTCCAAAGGATTAGATTCTACACTAAACAACATATCCACTTCAATCGGACTAGGATCTGGTGTACCCTCGGGTTTAGAATCTACCGAAGATTGTATTTTATCTTCTTCCATACTAACACTAGTTTCCATTGATGCAGTTTCTTCTAGGTTAGCTTGCTCCATTTTTATTTGTTTACAGTTTCTGAAGTCAAATTGAGCTCTTGTATTTTCCACTGCTAATGGATTGGCTTTTGTGGGAATGAGTTCATCTGGTCCAACATAATTTGTATAAACTTCATTTCTGCTGCAAATATTAGCATCATTACCAACATAAATAGTCGTAAAGAATGTGTAAGTGGTGTAATATGTCTTAACAGCATCGGGCTTAATGCTCGCAATAATATCGTCTCCTAATGATGGCGTGGGCGTCTGAGAGCTATAAATATCGTCTCCTTCAACAGACTCAAGGACGTCTTTATTTTTAACAAGATCAATGGCACTGTTAATGGCAAATATTTCTGTTGGCCTGCCTATACCCACACTGGTTGGTGCAATCTCATCTTCGTTGAACGCTCCTAATAGTGATGGATCTAATTTAGAAAGATCGATTGTTGATGTAATGATGTTAGTGACAACAGATTTGTGGCTAGCAACGCTCGATGTTTGGTCACCGAAGAAGGTTGTAAAGTAAGTATAAGTGGTGTAAAGTGTTTTGTAAATTACATCAATCTCGTTTTCTGATTCTTCCACTTCTTCTGGTGTCGTTGCTTTTTCAGTAGTGGTTGTTGTAGTCGTTTGTTCTGTGCTTACAGACACTTCAACGTGACCTTGGCTTGTTGTGATTCTTTCTGTTGTTGTAGTTGTTGAAGGTGTAGTAGTAGTTTCTTTTTCTTCAACCGTTTCTTCAGTTTCGTTTGAACTTTGTACTGTTCCAGTAGTTTGTTCATCTTGAACTGTTTGGACTTCGTCTCGTTGTGTTGTAGTTTTGGGGCTTTCAGTTACTACATCTGGTTCCGTGGGAGGCTTAGCAGGTTCTTCAGAAACTGGTTTTATGGTTTTAGATTTTGTCTCTACAGAATAACCAACATTTACGACAGCTGTTGGTTCAATATTCATGTTTGTTCTACAAACGACATTAGTGAGGAAACCGGTGTTACTCTCAACTACCACATCTGACTTGATGGAAGTTGTAGTTTCTGTGCTTTCAAGAGGTATGAAATAAGTCGTCAAGTAAGTTAAAGTTTTATACGCAGTCGTCATTGTAGATTGAGTTTCAAAACCTTCCGTACAGATTACTTCTTGAGTATCATCCATTGTATCTTCATTACTGTCTTCTTGCGTATCAGGAATAGTAAATTTAGATTCCGTAGTGGTTTCTATTTCTTCCGAAGATTCTTCACTGTGACCACTTTCTGTGGTAGTCATAAAATCTGGCATTTCTGTAGTAACTTCGTCTTCTTCTTCCTCTTCTTCTTCTGGTTTTTCTGTTATTTCAGCAGCAGTATTTTCAGACTCTTCTTCTGAATTGGTGAATACTTCAGTCATTTCACTTTCAGTAACCGCCGATTCTTTAGGCGCTTCAAAGATTGTAGTAGTTGGGGATAAAGTTGCCAACGGTTCCGTTGCCTCAGAATTAGAGTAATCATTAATGGGAATAACACCCAAATCGTCAGTAGTACGAGTACTTTCAGTGGTAGTCATTGGAGATTCGGAAGGTTGAATGACATCAACATTTAAGCCAAATCCGTTATCATACTGAACGCTAACAACATCAGGTATCTTATCATCAACTTCATACAATACCTTTTTTAGGCTTTCTTCGTCATTGAAAAGAGCTTTGTCAGACCTATTCTCATCAACTACAGCAGGGCCTGGAATTCTGGTTGCTGATGTAGCTTCATGAGCTTTATAAGTAGAGGAAGCGACTGGAATATCAGCAGCGAGGAAAGTTATTTTAGTGGACAATTTGTCAATGCGATTAGCGGATGGGAAAACGTTTACTTCGTCAGGATTTTGAGGTCTACTTGTTTCAGTGTTAGGGCTAAATATAATGACTGTGTCACCAACAACAGTTGTAAAGTCAGCAAAGCCTGCGTAAGTGAAAGTCTTCTTTGGTCTTGGTTCACTCTTTTGACCAAACAATTTTTTAGGTATTTTCGTTTGCTGCGCCGCCTGCTGCTGAGGTCGACGAGACTCAACATTATCGATATAATAAAATATCGGTGAGAATTCGTTCTTAATTGTGAACGTCGGTAAATCGTAAGTAGGTTTAACTTTAACTACATTTACTTCGTCTAAAACCTCAGGTTTAGGACGTGGTTCTTCTTTAATTGGTTCAGTGACCGGTTCATATGCTTTACTTTGTCTATTGAACGTATTTACATTGTTGACAATAGATGGCTCCACTACAAATTCAAACTTTTTGTCGCTATCGATAGATGGACCGTCAAGGAAATTTAAAGCTTCATTTTGGACATATCGTGGGATTTCTTTAACGGGCTGTACTCTACGACCAGTGGGTTCCTCGAATATTTGATTATCAGCCTGACTTTCAGGAGCAGAAGGACTCCAGAATTTAAAACCATCTTGGGCTGGCTTGCTAGCATAGACTATTTCCATTTTACTGTTGGGTGCTAGATAATCAGTGTTTTTAAGAACGAACTTTTCAGGATCAATGAAGCCTAGATCTTGCTTGACGTTCCATTCACCATCGAAAGCTGAATGTACGCGAGTTGGTTTGACAATAACAGGGTCTTCTACATTGGTTGGCTTATTGTAAAGTACTAGAGAAGACTTCGTTAGGAGCTGAGCGTAAATGCGGCCGTTATCTAAGGTGGTGCCCAGGATTTGGGTGGCGTACTCCGTGGTGACACCATCTTGGATGAACGTCCTCGCCGTCGATGTCAGTAGGCCGATGAGTGGTTTGACACTGTGGTACCTTCCGATCTTCGTGTTATAGTCATTCCTCTTCTGGTTTACAAGGAGGACGGTCAAGTCTGCGGTCAAGAGTCATAGTCAGCGTCGTGTGGGTAGGATTTTCATGGAGGTGCGTTTTTATTTTACAAAGTCCATTGAGTTGTTCCACGAACCACAGGATTAGATTTGAAAGAGAAAGAAAAAACATACAATTAATAATGCAATTTTAATAGAATAGAAAAGAGACGCTAATAGATATAATTTGCATACAGTTAGCACTAATTTTGTACAGCTTCTCAAGATTGAGGTTTACGATGTTTTAACGTATTCTGAAATATTTATACAAGTATGTTAATGATTTGTTTGCAGACATTTTAACGGTCATTAAGTTCTGTTAACACCTGAGTGTAAAATAACTCTCAAGAATCATTCAATGTTGATGAAATTTATTTGCAGAAAAAAACATCAGAAACCTCGTTAAAATATACAAATTTTAATTTTTATTAAGGTTAAAAAAAGATTTGAAATATGTTAAGTTTGTAAGAAACAGATAAAAGAGAGAAAATAATTGCAAATCGTACGTTTTTATCAATAGATTTTATTCACTCAAGCATTCATAGTTCATTCAAGCAAAGAGGGTATTTTACAGAAGATTCTAAGAGTGAACAAGAAGGACGAGAACATACCCCTGTTTTCGGGAACTCCTTCCCTCTTTATCCTTGAAGATTCTATATGTTCATCGTTATTTACTTCTGTAACAAATAAAGAAAGTATAATTAGTAAAGGCTTTAACAAAACTATTATATTTAAAGTGTAAATAAATTATGGTGGTGACGCAAATAGGTTTTAAAACGGGCGATTCGAATCTGACTTTTTTCGGCTTAGAAATGCGCTTTCTATGATTATTCATACGGTGAAGGAAAACAGTATGAGGAAACTTGAATTAATAATTTCTAATTACAAGTTTGAAATCACCAATTCGCTGAAATCGACCGATGCTGACAATCGATAAAATGCCTTTGCTTAGAAGTGGGAACGTGTAGCTTGATGATGATGATGATGATGAAATAGACTTAGTGGTGATACACTATAAGGTTTGGTTATGATCATATCAACATAGGCGACCAATTTTTTATAGAATAGAAGGCAAACAGTGCAACAAGTGATCAGCGCTGCCCATGGACACCTGCAACACCAGATTAGTCTTAAGCGCGTCCCGGCTGATTAAAAAGGAGGAAGTACACACGTTTTCTGAAATCACCCCCGAAAGTTTTGCTGTGCTAGGCAGAAAGTTTAACAGCTAAATATGGGCTATGCCAATAATAACCCAGATCATTCGACTTTAAGCAATACTACTGAGCGATCTGGGAATCCAAGTCAGAAAATCCTTGTTCAATAGTCACACTTCAATCAACAAACTAGTATATAAACTTATAGTACAATCAATATTTTATAACAGTATGCCACTAACACTTTCTTTGCATTAAAAAAAAAACAATATAAACCGTTGACCAAGTTTTTTAAAGTATACCAAAGCTCATAAAATATTCAAGACCATCTATCTAACTGACCAAATGAAAGCGAATAAGGAATTCGTATTAACATATCGACGTTATTAATAAATAAATATGTCAAATTATTAACATAAAAAAACTGTTAGAATGAACTTGTAACCGTTTTATCTATAATACGTGTTTATCTTGACTGCACGGTTGGTGCGGTGGCTGGGCAACGTGTCGCGGGTTCGATTCCCGCACGGAACAACTCTTTGTGTGATCCACAGATTGGTGTTCGGGGTCTGGGTGTGATGTGCATGTGAAATTGTATGTTTGTAACCGCACCCACGACACAGGAGAAAATCCTGGTGCGGGGCAACGTTTAAAAAAAAAAGAAAAAGAAGAAAAGATCGTCATAGAAAGACGTACAGAAAAAAAATATTCGCTTCATCAATATTCAGCCTATATCTGCAAACTAGCATATGTAAATGCCTCTTGTTAAATGGATAAGTTATAAGCATATCACTACGCTTGTTCAAGACAGATTGACGAATTATTTGTAATTGGAAATTAAAAGTCCAAGTTGGCTCTCCATTATTTACCTAACCGTATGTCAGTGGTGGCTAAACATACTTCCAAAGTACATTCAACACGGAAAATGTCGCATTGGTTGCTACTGCCAGGTTTCGAAGAAGCATTACTGTATGAAAATATATTAAAAATGAGCTGCTTAACCTCTGGTCCATAATGATACTTCCAATGAAAAGCACCTTCAAAATCGTATCATAGAACTGTAATTCTCATCATCAAACTATAACAGTTATAAATATAGATTTAGTATGTGAAAATGTGGTGGTGGCCCGGAGGTTAAGGCGCCCGCTTCTCATGCGATCACCTGGCAAGTACCAATGTGACTTTTTCCGAGTTATATGTACTCTCTATGATATTATTTAGACACCACTGACTTACGGTAAAGGTAAACATCGTGAGGAAACCTGGACTTATAATTTCTAATTATAAGTTTGAAATCGCCAACCCGCATTGAGCAAGCGTGGTGATTAATGCTCTAACCTTCTCCGTGTGAGAAGAGGCCTTTGCTCAGCAGTGGGCACTTATAGGCTAGGCACTAAAAAGAGGGGTTTGCCATAATCACCACTCTCGACAGACGCATTACAGATTGCAGTTTTAAAGACAGGTTTATCAGAGAGTGCTATTGTTGACAATCTTTTCGTAGGTATCGGTGATACCCGCAGGAAGAAAATAGATTCCATTTTACAGTTCATTACCTCCAATTATAACATATTTAAGCAACAGTATATAACAAATACTAAATGCACTAGTTCCATAATCCGACGCCGCTCGGTTTCATAACAATCCGTTACGATAACCCAGATGCATTGTAGAAAGTTACCGAGTTGACTAAAGTGTAGCAAGGTCGATTGGTTGGACTTGTAAATTAATTTTGTTCGTCGAAATTTTTTTGTGTACGTGTTCCTTGCCATGTTTTTTGCGACTGGCTTAAAAAGGGGCTTAGTAATATAGGATTTATTGCTGTTAGTATGGGTATTGCTTTTGAAAGGAATCGAATGTTCTTTTTTTAAATAATTCGGATTTTTGTGAAGATATCCATAGAGCCTCACCTCTGGGCATGGTTTAAATAAAACAAGTATAAGATCCAAGTAGGTACTTTTTCCCTCTTAAAAAACAGGAGTTTAAATAAAACAAGTACACACAGGCATGAGAAAGGTGTTCTAATGACAAAGTTTTATTCATATTTCTTTCATAAAATTTCATGTTTAAGTCATGGTATGAGACAAAAGTATTTATCTATACCTACATATAAAAATTATGTATGTTTTATTTTTTGTTCAAACTGTCAAAATGAAACCTATTTTTCTAGTTGAATTTCGAATAGAATATACTTATATCCGAATTATAATTAGTCGTTAAATAATTAAATAAAAGAGAGTAGATTTTTTTACAATTTTATCTCATTTAAAATGTCGAAATTATATCTAAACTATTTTTTATAATTTTAAATCGACTACAAACAGATATAAAGAAAAACCAAAACACACGCGGTAACAATAAACCATCTAAAGTATTTTCTTCACAATTTGCGAAAGCGCGCATCACAACGCAACGCCCGAGCCCTTTGTGAAAAATTCTTATTGCGCAAAACCACAAAACAATGGTCGTAAAGTCGCAAGTAATCCGACGAATCACAATCACAGAAAAATAACTGTTACGAGCCTTTTTTTCACACAATTACTAAGCTTAGATACGCTTGTGTTATCTAAGAAACCTGCAGATAAGACGCACATGATTATAGACGATTCCTTCGTAGCATGATCTTTCAAGATGATTTGGAAATGAATGAAAATCCTTATCGCTGATCAGGGGTGTGATTCTGTAAGACTTCATTCTAAACTTCGAATCTGAATCCGCTGTGAGTAATAGTACACTAGCGCTACACTTGCGAGTTGAACTAAATTGACAGCAACATTTTGATAGATAAAGTATGAGATGACGTTAAAAGTGGCATTCTAAAATTTAATTACCCCGTCACTTCGACACTCACTTCGCACTCGAACAAGATTCAAAATCAAACAAATTTTATAGAATCGACGTGCAGATAATGTTCTTGCTATCTTATGATCTTGAAGAGATAGAGACATTAATGAAAATAATACTCTTCCGCGACTTAGCAATTGAGTGACAGGTCTTGAAATTGTATTTCATGGACGTGCGACCCTAGGAGTCCAAACGCCCAAGCATATGTAAGAAACATAACTAGGATAATAAATATCTAGGTTTATACAAGCAAAGCTAAAAGCTATGCGTGCAAGATGTACGGAGCAGAAGAAAGGGGGTAGTTTTCAGTCATCCTCGACTTATACAGGGCGGGAGCTACTTGATGACGTCAAAAAAAAAATTAAAGACACTAGAATCCTTGAATAAATCTTCATGTTAAGTGAAGTTGCGCATCAAAAGTCACATAATCCAACTTAAGAATTAAAAAAAAATATATCAAGGTCACCTACACCTAGTTCCAACTTCACGTACTTATCAAGTGTCCGTTTTCTCTCCATCAGGATGGACACACGGAAGTTCACCCGATGCATAACGATCAGCTCTGGGTCACTGGACCAACGACCTAGTACGTGGTCCGTGCTGACCCTCAATTGAATAGAACATTTTCTTCATATGGTCTGTTGTGCATTCTATCATGATTTTTTTTGCCCTACATGTAGGGTTGGTTCGATTTTTTCATCTTTGACCCACATGTGGGTTTTTTCCTGTCTCGTAAGTGCGATTACCAACATACAATTTTCACAGAAAACCGGCGTGAAGTTACCGGAGGCCCAATCCTTCCCCTTCCCGGACCCTTCCCCAATCCCTAAATCTCCAAATCCCTAATCCCTTTGTTTGGTTTACAAATATACAATGTCACACACATATGACACCCAGACCCGGAATAACAATTTGTAAATCACACAAAGAGTTGTTCCGTGCGGGAATCGAAACCGCAACACATTGCGCGTCAGCCAGTTGCCCAGCCACCGCGCCAACCGTGCAGTCAAATAATTCAGTTACATTGAATTTAAATACTTACTGAACAGAGCGTTTGTATTTCTCTCAAACATTATCAAAAGAGGGCAAGAAAACAGAGAAAAGCTTTAACAAACAGCTTTTTTTCTGAGATCATCGATTGTGATGGGTTACCACGATGATCAAGAAATTGAAGAAAAAGCCTTCCTATTGGCAGCTTATCTCTTTCATTGTATTTGAGGGAAATGGGTCAATGTTGAATTGTTAAAATACTATGTGAATAACTTTTTCTCCGATATACCTACATATAAACAAAAATCATAAAATATAATAATGTAAGTATGTATGTTTCAATCAACTCAAAAACAACTAAGTAAATTTTCAAACGATTTAGAAGCCGCAACAAAAATAAAAGAACCTGTATAATGTCATAATGACAGTGACACTTAAAATGTCATTAAAAATTTGACCTACTAAATGTAATAGAAATGATAGTCGGCATTCGTTCGAAAAATAAAAATTGTAATTTTACATAACTATTTGATGACTCGCATTATAAGTAAAAAGTACCTGAGTTATCAATTACATAACTTAAGACTTGAAAATAAGAACATCTGAATTCTTTATTCAAACAAAATGGCGTTTTGCGTTTTGAAACGACTTCCGCTCAATCGCTTCATTCTCGACAATCATTTCTTACAATACGCCAATTATATTACAACTGAGAATTTAGCCAAGTCATTTAGACACGTAATGTTATAGGTATAGGATCTATATTCTTCTCAAAAGAATTTGTAATGCTCTAAAATTTGTGAGAACAGGTGTACAACTACAAAAGAACTAATTACGCATAGAAATGTCAAAATATTTATTATTTCGCACGGTCCCCTTTCTAAAAAAAAATATTCCATTCTTAGAGTTGTTTATCTTTAATTTGATGATATAGGTAAGTTGAATGATTATTGCTTTTCATACTATAGGACGTAAACACCATATCTTTCGGGTAAATATGCGATGCTATTTTTACTTCAGAAAATGTCAGCATCTCTTTATTTAAATCTACCTATATGCATGGTTTAAAATCATTTGTAGAAGATGTTTCACTTTTTACTTACGATTTTTGGATTGTCCAGGAGATTTTCAGTTACAATCCAAACTAATATTATAAATGCGAAACTGAAAACTCTGTCTGTCTGTCTGTCTGTCTTTTCTTCACGCCTAAACTACTGAACCGATTGCTGTGAAATTTGGTATAGATATAGTTTGGAACTCGAGAAAGGACATAGGGTAGTTTTTATACCAAAAATCTGCTGCTGACTAGGAAGTCACTATTCCACGCGAACGGATTCGTAGGCAAAAGCTAGTTCTTAAATAATTTAAAGCTTCTTCATAAGGTTTTAATTACATATAAAGTTGTTTTAAGGCTTAACCAATTACTACAGTGTATACATACTATAACTTAATGCGAAATCTTTAATCAAAAACTCTATCAAACTCTACGAAACAAACAAATCAACAAATTCGTCGTTATTATTTCAGATGCTATTGAGAAAAGAGTTCCACCATCGATGCAGTCATTTCTTTTAGTTGGTTTAAATCAATTTCACTTTTTCTTGTCGTAAAGAAAGTAAGTACCTACTTGGCATTGAGTTTTTTATATACTTTCGAGACGACAGTTTTTTAATAACACTTATTAACTTATATTGATGTTAAAGAAATTAAATTTTGTATAAAAACACTTCGTAGGACAGTTTTTGCTTATAATATTGTGTCTCTATACAAAGACTTTTAGGCTTATTGATTTATTATTTTTTGTTTTTTCTCCACTATTTTATTTATTACAATTGAGTAGTTTCCTAGGTCAAAAATAAATTATTTCGACGTTTCAACACAATAAAATATTGAAAAATAACTATACTTTTATTCATCTATCGATCGATACACTAATTTTTAGATTTTTTTATCTAATTATCAAGAAATAAGTAAGCTATTTGACGCAAAAAAGTAATGACGTCATAGCTCAGTTTTTCATACAAATTTCATAGAAAAGTATCGTTTTTGACGTTTGGATAAAAGTATTGAATTTGACCAGTTGGAAACTACCGTATTACCATAAACCTCATAATAAAAATTAAAACTTCTTAAACTCCCATAATAATTGGCGCCAAAACTGTCATTTTTATTCATCTGTCAAAGTTTTTTTAATCTGTAGACAACATGCTCTTTATTTCTCCAGCCAATCATTTCTAATATAAAATTCGTAAATGAATGAATGAAATATGAATTTATCAAAACGATTTAATAAATCGATATAAATTCCAATGACAGGTACGCCATTTTGTGGCACACTACCGCCTCCTAAGTGGTTTAGCGTTTCGAAATGAGTCCTCAACTTTTATGGCGGTGTGCGGGAAAAGTGTCGCGTAAAAACTTGCACGGGGGAGAGAGATGACAATAGTGTGTAACATGCGTGTGAGAGGGATGGAATGTGTGTCAGTGGGTGAACAGGCCCTGAGTCAATGCACTTGCAGTAGCTTAGCTGTGGGATATGAAATGATAATTATTTTGTCGTCAGGTGACGTTGCAGTAGAACCACTACATATCATGTATATCAGTATCCCTGCCCTTCCTCTGGGTATTTTTAAGACAAATAAGAAACTGTATTATTAACGGAAAGAATCTAATCTTTGTAAACTGCGATCTTTAAACTGGATGACAAGCCTGGAAATTTTGTAGAGTTCTCTAAGAAAGATAGATCATTTGATATGTAATACATATATTTTGAAGGAAAACAAAACGTTATATTTTTCGAATTAGTTAAAAATATATAAGAGAACACAAAGTCTAATTTGAATTTAGATTTTTGAATCACAACATAAACAAATTACCAATTCATAATCGCATACTGGCCATAAACACAATTTATTTTCAAATACCGAACGTAAACAAAATGAATCTTCTTTTGAAAAATAACGACCAGTTACGATTTTACTGTTTCTAACCAATTTGAGTAATGGCGGCCGCTTAGGCTCTCAATCCTGATTGGCCTAAATACCTTTACGAACGAATGGATGACTTTAGATCAGCAATTACTTGTT